TGCAGAGCTCTCTCCTTCCTCGCTGATGATTCTGACATGCTTGCGTTTAAGACGCTGCATCATCACCGTAGTATCCCTGTGCCATGCTAAGTCTGACCTACAAACGTTGCATGTCTTCGCCTGATTTAACTGAAAATGCTCCCAAACTTTAGAAGTTTTTACTTTTTTTGGGGTCTCGCTGCTTCTGCCATGTTCCTCTTTTACAAACACCTGCCAGCTCTCCACCGGTCTGCGCGCAACGGCGGGTGGGAGGGGAGGGGGCTTTTGGAAGAGTTGTGCAACACAACGAATCGATGACGCAATTCGTTGCCAACGCTTTTAGTAATCGATTTTCATCGAATTTATCGATTCGTTGTTGCAGCCCTAGTATGCAGTGTTGATGTCGTCTGGCGTGTGATGTCTGCTTTGGGCTCAAAGCAAACAAAAACTTATGCATGAATCCCATTACAATATAACATTTTTATTGCAAAAATATGCAGCTGCACCTGCTACTGTATTAGCAGCAAAACAACAAACTGCATGCATGCAGTTTCTCAGTGACTTTAAAACATCACCTCCACCATAAAACTTTTTCTGATGCTCCAAATACAGAAAAACATCCCTTACCAGGGTTTTTTGAATAAAAAAATCAGAAAATAAGTTTAAATGTTAAATAATAGTTAACATCACTTAAATGCAACAGCAAATTCTCTTATTGCTACTGAACATTCTCTCCACTTAAGTGGTTATGATATAAGGCTGTTGCTGCAATTGGGAAGTGAACTGTGCTGGGCCAAACTAGGAGAATATTAAGATTTTCTGAGGGAAAGAGAAAAACAACTGTCTACCTTTCAGAAGAGGAACTGGAAAAAAAAAAAAAAACTACATGGAAAACATGTGAAAATGTTTGGTTTTAACCCCAAATTGAACAAGTTTACATAGATCTTAAAAAGCAGCTCAGATGATGAAACTGCAACTATGATTCTGATAACAAGCTAACAAATTGAGCTAGCTCCTCTTAAGATAAGCGGCTAGCAGAGCTTCTGACTGACAGTTTATGTGCAGCAGCAAATCAACTATCCTGATTAACAAGGTTATAAAAGCTCATAAATGAAAAATCACTTTGATGTGTGGGGGAACTTTTCCAGGCCCTCTTTAGCAGGGTGGGACTGGGAGGAGAGTGCTGTAGCCTTTTAGCTGGAAGCTAACCGGAGCCAGGGGCTAACGACACCACCCGGTGGAACACTAGTGACATGAAGGTGGGTTGGTTCACCGGCACATGTCGGGAGTCAGCCCGGTAAAAATGATTAACGACACCGAGCGGATTCGCGTTCATGTTTGAAAGCAGCGCTGATTCCAGAAACCTCAGCACAAAGTGCGTTCGTTGCTCTGAGCCAACATGACGAACAAGGGAACGGTGCAGCTAACTTTCCATCCTAAGGGTCTACGTAGGGGGCGGGCGTATTACGTGAACGGACCCATCTGATTGGCCTTATATCAGAAGGGCTACATTTGATTGGTCAAATAATACTTCCGCGTAAAAAACAGTGCTGGTTTACAAAAAGTTGATGTATGACACGGATGGAAATGTTGAAACAAATATTTATCGCCGTTTTTGACGTGCTTTGCGATGGGCCTATCGCACGTCCTGTTATCGCGATGACGATAATTTTTCGATATATTGTGCAGCCCTAATTAGGATTGTTTGTTGTTAACTCACCTCTGGTGTCATTTTGAGGGGTAGCAGTTGCTCCTAAACACCAGAGTAGCTGCTGTAGTAGGAACTGGTGATGGCAAAAACTCTTATGAGTGAATTCAGGTCTGTTATGTTTTTATATGACTGTTTACTTTGGTATTCATACATTTGTTGAGCTAATACAGCTTTTGATTGTGTATTTTTTTTAAAGTAAGGATAAGGCAAGTCAAACAAATCTGTCATGCAAATATAACAGGAAATGAGGTGACGTTTTATGGGCAAGTCACATGATTTATTTAAATATAGAATTTGAAGAGTTTTGAAATATTCTGACATGTTTACTGGCCCCAATGTGACACTTTAAATCTAAGCTAACACTGCATCTAAGTATCGGTGGTGCTAGGAAAATGCAAGTTTTTATTTTAAAGAAGAAAATTTATTTCTGCATTTTAACAAATTTATAGATTGATGGAATTATCTCAAGTATCCATGTCTTCCAGACTAAGTTATTAATGAACAAAACAGTTTGTTGCAAATTTCATGAATGTATGCAAGTTGTCAGTTTATTAAGTTACATTATAGCACTTGTATGTAAAACACAAATGTGTGGATTATTGCTTGTTTTTGTCTAAAATAATTTTTTGTTAGACTGAGTGAAAGAGAACTATGAAACTAGGTTTTTACGCTGTTGGGTTTTATTTATGCTCATCACAGCTCTTAAGCCAAGAATTAAATTATATGTGTTCACCATCGTGTTTATGTTGGTGAGAAAAGCGCATTTCAGCTTCACACTCGCTGAGCGACTTTCTCTGGTGTTTTTTTTTTTTTTAAACTTGTTTGTGAATTCTCTCACTCACCGAGCTGTGCGCCATCACACTTGGATTGATGCAAAGCTCAGACTGATTTGCTAATTCTTGAATCCCAACCCTGGTTAGAAATCTTGTAGAAGATGGATGGTTTGTGTGAAACAGATTGAGATGTAAGTGATCCACAGATTAGACAGTTGGAAAGCTGTTTTTGTGTCAAAACAGTTTTAATACTTTCATGTTGTTTTTGGGTTAATAACCATGGTCTTGTTAAATAGAGCTGTGACGCTGCTTCAGGGTTGATTGAGGCCTACATTTGCTAAACAAAGCAAGTATTATGGCTCTTCTTTAATTCTTTCTGTGGGGCTTGATGCCAGCCTTTTCACTCATTCATATTGATGTCAAGCTGTTGCTCATGAGTTTCACATCCAGGTTTGTTCTAATTAAAACAGCAGAGGTTTGGTCGGGCTGCTCTCATAGATTTGGTGGGGAAATTTCAGAGTAATACAGATTTTAAAGAACTGATTTAGATTTTTTAGGCCCTGATTGAGAAGGTGTTTATAAAAGATTTAGGGCTGCAACTAACTATTATTTTCATAATCGATTAATCTATCGATTATTTTTTGATTAATCGATTAATCGGTTTGTTATTGTTTAGCTATTTAACCTATACAAGTGATGGATGCATTTCAGTTAAGAAAAAAAACATAAGAGAATTGTGCAGTTGACTGCAATCTATTGTATTGCACATGAACAGTCAGCAGTATAAAATGAGCTAAACAGTGCAAAATATCAGTCCAGAATAATTTTTTAGCATTAGCTGGAAGCCTGCTCCTTCCACCATGGATAGTGGCCTCATGTCTTTTACCAGCATGTTTAGAATAGAGTTTGTAAGTGGTATGCATTGCTGGGGGGTGAGTGTCTTGTTCCCCATGTAGTTGTCCATCGTTGCTTGTTTTTTTCTGCATAAGAAACACAAATAGACTGAAATAAGTACACATATAAAATAAAGCAGCACACACACTACAACACTAAATCAATATTGTATTATTTGAATTAATTAACAATATACAGTGATCATTTATTTTGAGGGTTACGTTCTACAAAATAGCCCGCAACAGGAGATATTCAGAAAAAAAGTCCAATTTTTTTTACTATTAAAAAGCTCTAAGTAAGAAGCTCATGAGGTTTTTACTTTGAGTCGGGAGTGTTTAAATTAGCTAGAGAAATGTGAAAAATGTTTATTTTGTGTAATACTGTTTAAGAAACGTGATAAAAATGTGTTGTGAGGCGTTTTACAGTGTTAGATAGTAAAACAGCCTTTTAATAGTAAAAAAAGGACTTTTTCTGAATTTCTCCTGTATTTAAAAATTGAAAGCGTACAACTATGCCGCGTTATATTCACCTGGACACAGCTCGTCTGTATATTTTTCACCGCGGAGTTGTCCTTTTTTGAATGAGGAACATAGTTATGGGTTTGTGCCGTTTTTCTCTTAACCAGAACATTCTTATAAACAGACGTGCTAAATTTGGCAAGCGCATGATTCACAACACGGAGATTCACGATTGCATCTAGTCAATCTGAAGTAGAACACCGTAGACTGACGCGGCAAAAAAAAACATGTTTAACATCCACTATAACAAACTCCGCTAAAACACTAAGTCCAGCTTGTTTATTTTCTGTTACTTACCGGGCTGGCTCTTCCAAATGACGGCTCACTTGACTGCGGTGCTCTTCCTCTGCTGCATCAGCCCCCACATGCTTTCGTCTCAAATGTTCACTTAGGGACGTCGTGCTTCCGTGCCATGCTAGATGGTTTTTGCATATTTTGCAGGTCATCCGTCTTTTCATGACATCTAGAGTGAAGTGCTCCCATACTCGTGAGGTTTTTGTCCAGGGTTTCTCTTCAGTTTTGTAGCTTCTATTTTTCTTCCGTATTTCTTGTTCCGCCATCTCTCACAGCAAGATGAGCGTCAGTAACGTGATACGTCATGAAAACCGAGGGCACTCATTGGCTCATTTCTTCTTCTACGGCTCCACTGGTAGATCAGTGGCTCACTACTGCCACACACTGGCGGCAAATTTAACAGCTTGTAACCAATGTCAGATTGTGGTAAAAATAGACTTTATGCGGTAAAATATGATTATTAAACAACTAATCGATGACTAAAAAAGTTGTTAACTATTTTAATAATCGATTATAATCGATTAAATCGATTAGTTGTTTCAGCTCTAAAAAGATTTGATTTGTGTGGTCAACATGTATGTTGCTCTCTAATTTTGTCCTGTTTGTTATCCAATCCTGTTATTTGGTTCTTTTCTGAACACGGAGTATTAGAGATTTGTTATTTACCTTTTTGGCCGATCAGTTTTAACATCGGCGACGCTCTGAAGAAGGTTAGCTGAGATTTTTCAGCAAGAAGGTAAATAACAAACCTGCATTACTCTGTGTTCAGAAAAGAACCAATTACTGGATTTGTTGCTCTCCTTTTATTACATTTATTTGTGATTTTCGTAGGATTGGCAGCCGCCTTTTGCCTGTGATGTTGACAGACTGAAGTTCACGCCTCGAATACAAAGGCTCAATGAGTTGGAGGTAATTTATATCATGTATTAAACTATTTGTTACTGTAATGTTTTAGCTTAACTATGATTTTGTAAAATTTGTTTCTAATTCAAAATCAGAGTAAAGCTTCAGGATGTAATAAACCCATTGTGACTAACGCATATAAATTAAGACATTTCTCAGTTGTTTTATTATTTTTTTCCCCCCAAGGTAATCATGTCCATATAAAGGAAAATTGTGTTTATTTAAAGCAACTTTCTTTTGTTTTTAGGCTCAGACCAGAGTTAAACTCAACTTCCTGGATCAAATTGCAAAGTTTTGGGAGCTCCAAGGATGCACTCTGAAAATTCCTCACGTTGAAAGGAAGATTTTAGATCTATACCAACTGAATACGGTTTGCAGTATTTCTTCTACCCAATTATAAACGTACACAGGTCATCAAACAGCCAGAACACACAACACAACACATTTGCTCCATTATAATCCTATTATGATATTTTTAGTTGGTGAATGAGGAAGGAGGCTTTGATGCAGTCTGCAGAGAGCGACGCTGGACTAAGATATCAGTCAAGATGGGGTTTGCTCCCGGCAAGGCCATTGGCTCTCATCTGCGGGCACACTACGAACGGATCCTCTACCCATATAACCTTTTCCAGACCGGAGCCAATCTGCCATCTGTACGTTCTTCACCTGCTTTTTATTTGTTTTAACATGCCTCGTTTCTAATAACTGTGTGAATGAATGCTTACTGGACCACTCTGAAGTCTGTTACAGCTCAATTTCAGGCATTATTATGTTACTTTAATAAAGTCTTATAAGTAGCACTTTATTTTTAACAAAGTTAATGTCAACACTGTGTTTGAGGAAGATCCTTGTTTTAGTCTAGAGCTGATGGAAACACAGGGCTGAGGTATGTTTGGTATTCAAACATTCAGTCTGAGGTTTCTCGGCATGAACCCTGCTGCTGAAACAGTCATGCAAATTATGTTATTGCAGCTTTTTAAGCAATTTTTGACATTAATCTCAGAGGATGGACACATTTGAACAATGAAGTCCATTGAAAATAACAATTTGTAAAATTTGCAATTGGAATAAATTATTATTCTCTTAATTTAGTTGCAGTAGATTTTTATTTTAAGTCTATCCTTATCGGATTAGATTTGTGCCAATAGGATCAAGAAAAACACTTTGAAGATCAAACAAATATTAAGACATTGAGAGAAAAAAAATTTGTTTCAAAAGAAAAAGTTACGATCTGAATCAACTTCTTAAAATGAGTAACAAAGTATGTTTCCTTTTTCTGTTTGCCTCTGTGTTTTTGTTATCAATTTCCTTAGTTTCGTTCTCGCTGCTCACAGCTTTGCTCTCACTACCAGACTTGCACTTACACTGTCTGGCTTTCTCCTTTGCAATCCCTGAGTTTTTGGTTGCAATTCTGACACAACCCTTTCGGGTGGGTGGGACTTCTGAGAAGTCCTCTCCCATAGGACAGTGGTTTCTCTTGAGTGACAGTTCAGTGACCCGGAAGTGATGTAGCCTCCAAGACTTTTTTTTTCCCCCACCTCGGTCAACAACATGAATTTTGAGCCCCAAACACATTATTTCTGCTGTCTGTGGTGTCTACTGAGGATCTAAAGTGAGTATTGATAATATATTTTATCTTTTCTTAGTTTATCTGTAAGTTAAGCCACTTTTTAAGTTGGTTTTAACCAGACGTTAGCTCACTAGCTAGCTGCTAAGCAAGCCATTGTGCTAGCCTCAGGACAATGGTCTATTGTTCCAGAGAGATGTATTAAAAACTCATCTTAACATATTCATTACTGGTTTCATGGAATTAATTATTGCAGTTTATGTTAATAAGTTTGCTAATTTTTCAGGAACATATGGAACATCAGAGACTTTGCAGCTACTGGAGCTAACCTGTGTACCGCTAACTTGCTACAGAGGAAGCAGCAGAAAGCTGAGCTAACAGGCTGTTTTGCAGGTAAATACTCTTAGTGAACTGCAGGATTTTTATGGTATAACTCAGACAGAATCTACATGAGCTATTGTGGGAAGACATTTAAACTACATTTACATACAGATACATGTATTTTTTATTCCATGTTACTTGGACGGGCTAAACAAGTTCATAGTTCTGCCTGCTCCTTTTTTCAGTGAAACAAATGGATTATATGATGTAACTCTGACTGAATAATTATCTAAGTGAGTATGTTTGATAATAAATTTCTTTCCAGTATACAGATCTGACATTTGTTTGTCAGAACAGGACAAATCAGATTCAATGTGCTTTCTGTCACGTGTTCTGTATTCTCATCAAAAGAATGTTATCCAGGACAGATAATCAATAATGAGTTAAATACATGCTTTTAATTAATTTTTACATAAAATCTATATTTTTGTCTAAAATCTATTTTTTTTAATTTATTCTTTTCTTTCTTTTTAGATTGAAAACTACTACATTGCATTACAATGGAAGTGCTACACGGCCTCATGCATCAACTGCAGCTGGTGAGCTAAGACACACCATAGTGTACACAAAGTACACTGCAGACAAGGGATGTAAGAAAATATCAATATGACAATATATCACGATATATTTTCCCAGTGATATTGTATCGATATTCTCAAACTGTGTCTCTAAAATATCGATATGGCAATATATCGTGATATTTTTTCCTGAGATATTACATCCATTTTCTAAAGCAGTGTATCTAATTTTTGGAAGAATTTACATGCAAACTTTTGTGTATTTGTTTTTGGTGCACTTTAAATGTCGACCGCTAGTTGGCAGCAGTGTGCATTGGGATTGGTTTCCACCACTGAAATTTAAATCTCGCTATTATGGTTCAGATAACTCGTGTTAAACATGTTAAGTATCAGTTTGGACTGTTTATTGAATATTCCTACAATAATTTTCAGTCAAAAATACACATCCCTACTGCAGACCAATCCCACCTCATGTATTTCATATGCTGTATAATAAACCCACAGTGATGGTTATGGATAAATATCTGTACTAATGGTAATCTTTTTCCATCGTTTCCAGTTGACAAGCTTATAGACCTATTGTTCGAGTCTGTGGTGGTGGATGCTCTATCATATCAGGAGCCTGACTAAGTACCTGTGCCTGAACCTCTCTGTGTCTAGTTCAAAAGACCTGAAAGACCTGCTGTAAGCAGGCACAGGTTAAGATTTTAAAAGAACCTGCAAGGTGAACAACACAACAGAATATAAATCTTTATTATTATTGTACGCTGTACAGCTAGAGTAAACTTGCATGCTCAGAAGCCACGTATGATTACATCGCCTACAGGTTGCCTGATGCTGAACTTCGGGCAGCTGCGTGTACTCCCGTGGAACAACCGCCTGTGGGAGGAGTCGTTGTGTTGCTGTTAGGAGTTTGGGTCGGAGTCCTGGGTTTGTGTTCCCTTTAATCTCTTCCTTAGCCTTCCTAGTCACCATTGCAGAGCACCATGGAGAGGCTTACCTGAAAACTCTTCTCATGGGGCAGGCACATCCTCACACACCTGTAACCCCATCCTTGAATAAAAGCTGGTAGCTGGTCACTCATCAGTGTTTTAACCCATATCTAGCCCATGACTCTGCCGTTTTTCAAACTTACGTTCTCATGTTCTATGCAGATCTATGGAAATTCTTTCCTTGAAGCTCCTGATCATATAACCATACTGGCAGTCAGCTTACTCACTACCTTCTGCTCACCCGCTTGCAACTCATGCTATCATTCTCCCAGACTTCTGGTTGTTTCTCCACCATTCTGCTGTCTCCCGTCTGCACTACAACTTCAGACCGTAAGTACCTAAACTTTTCCTTTTGTAAGTCTCTCTTTAGTCATTACTAACACTCAATTTTACCTCAGGGCCTTCTGATCTTTAAACACTAAAACCTGTGGCTCCATCTCTGTGGTGTTTCTCAGTCTCTGTAAGCTACCTGCACAGTCTAAGAAAAACCTGACCTCTTACTAACCTCTGCTCTTCCTCGCAGAAGCTTCTGGTTCCTGATCTCCAGCAGTTACCTCTTCAGTCATCCGTCAGACATTTTAATAAACTGTTTTTAGCTCATTTGTCTCCTGAGTTTCTCTGCATGAAGGTCAGGTTATTGCAAAAATCATGACATTAGCAATTATTTTGCACCACTCTGTTAAACAGCTGATATTAATTTCAAGTGTATCTTTATAAATACATTCAATGTCAAAGTGAATGAAAGGCATCCATTCAGCTTTCAGTGTCTAATGCAGGATTTTATGGACAGGCACCAAAACAGGAAATTTATAAATTGAGATTTACTAAATCAGGTAAACCATAATAAAATACTAATGTTTAAAGTCCAGAGGAGGGAGGAAGGCTTTATAGCAGGGGTATTCAATTCTAATCCTGGATGGCTGGTATCCAGCACGTTTTAGTTGTTTCCCTGCTCCAACACACTTGAATCAGTGGTTGAATTACCTGTGCAGCAGCTCTGCAGAAGCCTGTTAATTATCTGCGAACTGAAATCAGGTGTGTTGAAAAAGAGTTAAAACTAAAACGTGCTGGATACCGGCCCTCCAGGCCCAGAAGTAAATACCCCTGCTTTATACAGGTGCTGGCCAGTAAATTAGAATATCATCAAAAGGTTGAAAATATTTCAGTAATTCCATTCAAAACGTGAAACTTGTACATTATATTCATGCAATGCACACAGACCAATGTATTTCCAATGTTCATTACATTTAAATTTGATATTTATAGGTGACAACCAATGAAAACATCAAATCTGGTATCTCAGAAAATTAGAATATTCTAAAGGCCAATGAAAAAATGTTTGTTTCTCTAATGTTGGCCAACTGAAAAGAATGAACATGAAAAGAATGTGCATGTATAGCACTCAATACTTAGTCAGGGCTCCTTTTGCCTCAATAACTGCAGTAATGCGGCGTGGCATGGACTCGATCAGTCTGTGGCACTGCTCAGGTGTTATGAGAGCCCAGGTTGCTCTGATAGTCGTCTTCAGCTCCTCTGCATTGTTGGGTCTAGCGTATTGCATCCTCCGCTTCACAATACCCCATAGATTTTCTATGGGGTTAAGGTCAGGCGAGTTTGCTGGCCAATCAAGGACAGGGATACCATGGTCCTTGAACCAGGTGCTGGTGGTTTTGGCACTGTGTGCAGGTGCCAAGTCCTGTTGAAAGGTGAAGTCTGCATCCCCATAAAGTTGGTCAGCAGCAGGAAGCATGAAGTGCTCTAAAACTTCCTGGTAGACGGCTGCATTGACCCTGGACCTCAGGAAACAGAGTGGGCCAACACCGGCAGATGACATGGCACCCCACACAATCACTGACGGTGGAAACTTTACACTGGACCTCATGCAACGTGGATTCTGTGCTTCTCCGCTCTTCCTCCAGACTCTGGGTCCTTGATTTCCAAAGGAAATGCAGAACTTGCTTTCATCAGAAAACATAACTTTGGACCACTCAGCATCAGTCCAGTCCTTTTTGTCCTTGGCCCAGGCGAGACGCTTCTTGCGCTGTTTCTTGTTCAAGAGTGGCTTGACACACGGAATGCGACACCTGAATCCCATGTCTTTCATGAGTCTCCTCGTGGTGGTTCTTGAAGCGCTGACTCCAGCTGCAGTCCACTCTTTGTGGATCTCCCCCACATTTTTGAATGGGTTTGTCGTCACAATTCTCTGCAGGGTGCGGTTATCCCTAGAGCTTGTACACTTTTTTCTACCACATTTTTTCCGTCCCTTCGCCTGTCTGTTAATGTGCTTGGACACAGAGCTCTGCGAACAGCCAGCTTCTTTAGCAATCACCTTTTGTGTCTTGCCCTCCTTGTGCAAGGTGTCAATGATTGTCTTTTGGACAGCTGTTAAGTCAGAAGTCTTCCCCATGATTGTGGTGCCTTCAAAACAAGACTGAGGGACCTTTTAAAGGCCTTTGCAGGTGTTTTGAGTAAATCAGCTGATTAGAGTGGCAGCAGGTGTCTTCTATATTCAGCCTTTTCAGAATATTCTAATTTTTTGAGATACCAAATTTGGAGTTTTCATTAGTTGTCACTTATGAATATCAAATTTAAATGTAATGAACATTGGAAATACATTGGTCTGTGTGCATTGCATGAATATAATGTACAAGTTTCACGTTTTGAATGGAATTACTGAAATATTTTCAACCTTTTGATGATATTCTAATTTACTGGCCAGCACCTGTAGGCACAGAGAACTCCCATCATGATCCTGGAGACGGCACAATGAGATGACGACATGAGTGTGCCCTCCCAGATCACACCAACACCACCTGACCACACGGAGGCATGTGTCTGTAAGAAAGAAAAACTGGTGATGTATGAGATCTAAACAAAAACTACGAACAAAATGAATTTTACAGTTGTTTAACCTGCTGAGCATCGTCTCCCCAAAGAGCTGCACAAAGGTGCAACTGGCTCAGAACCAGGGTGCTCCATTATGCAGGTGGTCACCTCCTCCTGCTGACACCCGAGGATTACCTACAAAAAAGGGAAAACTGATATTAAAAAGGAAATAATTAAATCAGAGCTAAAAGTTTAATTTTAGTTTGACATTTGAGATTGTGTGAAATAAATGTGGACATGATTTTTTATTGTGGGGCCAGTACCTTGGGCGTTTCTCTGTAGCAACATGTTGTCTGGCTGACAATGAATTAGAAAAGTCACCAGTTGAGGCAGAGTTGGACTATATTACTCCAGCTAAGCTAAATGTAGCTAAACTAGACACTAGTCACCAGACTATAGTTACTATAGATTTTATTAGATTTAATGAAGGCATCAGCTGTGACATAGAAATTGGTGTGTGTTTATGTATGTTTTAGGTGTGACAGAAAAAGAAGAGGGTTGTAATTATTTTGATGCCAAACAAGCTTGTAAAATACAAATGCTTGTGGTGCATTACCTAGATCAGTGCTTCCCAACTATCTCTAACCAGTACCTCACAAAATATATAATTTTGTTTTATCCATTGTTTACATTTAGTGTCCCACTTCCTCAAGTGCTTATATGACATCAGTTTCACTTCAGAGATGTAAAAGTGGTATCAAATGTACTGTTCATACAAACTTAAGTAATAAAAACATCAGAGATGGATCTGATTTAGGGTGACAGAAAGCACATTGAATCTGATTTGTCCTGTTCTGACAAACAAATGTCAGGTCGGTATACTGGTAAGAAATTTATTATCAAACATACTCACTTCGATAATTATTCAGTCAGAGTTACATCATATAATCCATTCGTTTCACTGAAAAAGGAGCAGGCAGAACTATGAACTTGTTTAGCCCGTCCAAGTAACATGGAATAAAAATACATGTATCTGTATGTAAATGTAGTTTAAATGTCTTCCCACAATAGCTCATGTAGATTCTGTCTGAGTTATACCATAAAAATCCTGCAGTTCCACTAAAAGAGTATTTACCTGCAAAACAGCCTGTTAGCTCAGCTTTCTGCTGCTTCCTCTGTAGCAAGTTAGCGGTACACAGGTTAGCTCCAGTAGCTGCAAAGTCTCTGATGTTCCATATGTTCCTGAAAAATTAGCAAACTCATTAACATAAACTGCAATAATTAATTCCATGAAACCAGTAATGAATATGTTAAGATGAGTTTTTAATACGTCTCTCTGGAACAATAGACCATTGTCCTGAGGCTAGCACAATGGCTTGCTTAACAGCTAGCTAGTGAGCTAACATCTGGTTAAAACCAACTTAAAAAGTGGCTTAACTTACAGATTAACTAAGAAAAGATAAAATATATTATCAATACTCACTTTAGATCCTCAGTAGACACCACAGACAGCAGACCGAGGTGGAAAAAAAAAGTCTTGGAGGCTACATCACTTCCGGGTCACTGAACTGTCACTCAAGAGAAACCACTATCCTACGGGAGAGGACTTCTTAGAAGTCCCACCCACCCGAAAGGGTTGTGTCAGAATTGCAACCAAAAACTCAGGGATTGCAAAGGAGAAAGCCAGACAGTGTAAGTGCAAATGTGGTAGTGAGAGCAAAGCTGTGAGCAGCGAGAACGAAACTAAGAAAATTGATAACAAAAACCCATAGAGGCAAACAGAAAAGGGAAACATACTTTGTTACTCATTTTAAGAAGTTGATTCAGATCGTAAGTTTTACTTTTGAAACATGTTTTTTTCCTTTAGTCAATATTTTTGTTCTGTCAATTTCTTAATTATTGTTTGACCGTCAAAGTGTTTTTCTTGATCATTTTAAGAATCTGATTCGGATCGTAAGTTTTTCTTTTGAAACAAATGTTTTTTCTCTCAGTGTCTTAAAATTTGTTTGCTCTCCAAAGTGTTTTTTCTTGATCCTATTGGCACAAATCTAATCCCATATATCCTGCTTTGGGGTCTTTATTTATGTAGATAAACCTATGCAGTGCACTAGGGTGTAATGAAAGTGCAATCAAAACATTCTTTTGTTTAATACGTTTAATTTTTAGTTTGCATGAGTGCATTTTTTTATTCATTTATATTCTAGGGAACATTTATTGAGTTTCATTACATTTCCCTGTTTTTGTGCAGAAGGCCACACTGACCCATGACACTAAAGACAAGGAGTACACCCCTCATGACCTGCCACAACGTCAGTCTGTCCAGCCTCAGGAGACCTGCAGTATCGCTCGGCGAGCTAAACGGATGAGATCTGAAGTTAGTTTGTCTTAATTCTCGGTTTCTATGTGACCTTTTTTCTCTGCAATCAGTCACATCAGTTACGCTGACAAAACCATTTTCACTTGTGCATTTTTAAATTTTCAAAACCTAATTTCCTTGTTAGGCTTGTATTGATCCTCATCAGGGATTGTCATCAAGTTAAAATCTAATAAATTAGACATACTGGGTTTTTTTTCTGCTTTTGAAACATAAATGAGCATTCATTGGATCTAATGCATTACAGAAAACATTTATACATTTTGCCCCGGTTCTTGTTCTGGCTGCAGAGAGGCTGTTTCAAAAGCGAACTTGGAGGAATTCGTGAGACTCGTCCGAATCTGAGGAGGAGAATGGGAACCTTTGTGGCCAAATCAGAACCCGGTGAGAATTTATTTATAAATAAACAGGAATGTAGTTGTTTCATGGAAGCGGTATTTATGGAGGACTCCCAAAGCCTCCTCTGAATATTCTTCGTTGTCTTTCAGTGCAAATGCCAGTCACTGAGGTGAAACAGGAGCCAGTTGAACACATGGATCCAACAGAAAATGTATTTATTAAGATAGAAAAACCTCCATCCAATAAAGTAAATGGGTTTTTATTGTTTGAAGTTAAAGATAAAAATAACACAATAAATTAAGTGTGTAGTGCTATAAATGCCTAACTGTCCTCTCCCGCTCAGGTGGACACGTACATGTGCCTGGTATGTGGTAGTGGAAGTGAAGAGGACCGCCTGCTGTTGTGTGATGGTTGTGATGACAGCTATCACATCTTCTGTCTGATCCCGCCCCTCCATGATGTCCCTAAAGGTGACTGGAGGTGCCCCAAGTGCCTGGCTCAGGTGAGCTTTCTTCTCTCCACCCTCAGAGAGCCAAAGAACAAGGGTTCCTTAAAGGACAACCACAGCACCATTATCTTCTTTTACACAACCAACTACAGCATCTTATGGGGGTGGCCGTCATTTGTTGTGTTTGTTTTCCAGGAATGTGGAAAACCTCCTGTTGCATTTGGCTTTGAGCAAGCTGGCAGGAGCTACACCCTCCAAGCGTTTGGGGACATGGCCGACTCCTTTAAGTCTGACTACTTCAACATGCCCGTTCATGTGAGCTCACATTACCTCATGTCTGCTTTCCCAGCTTGGTGTTTAGGTTTTACTCCGTAAACGATGGACTGTGGTGTTTTGTTCTACATCAGCACTGTTTAACGACCTTCATTAAAGCTACTGCTTTTTGCTTTTCGGTGTAGATCGAAGAAGTTGGTTGATGTTTGTCTTCATATGAAGTTTGTTTTGGCTTTAGTTCAGCAGCGAAGCCAGTAGGTGGGAGGAGTGTAATAAAGCTCCAGGGCCACAAGTGTAAAATAACTTTGCTCTTATCTGAAAACTGCAGCCTTTACCTCAAACACCAATAACCTTGGTATTTTGTTCTAATCATCTTTTGTGTTTTATGTTGTTATTCAAGCGACTCTGACTCCAACTACAAGGTCTTCCACTGTTAAAGTACAATGCACACTAACACCAAGTGCTGCGTGAACTGAAACTGTTTTACTATGAGCATACAGATTATTGTACGGCTCATTAAAACGTTCTATTCTTATTACAAACGGGGTCAGTTTTACATCTTTAAGGGGAATGCTCCAGGACTGTCTGTTACTGTTTGTGTGACGAAACAAAGAAATGCTTTGATAACCGCTTCAGCTAGTCTTTTGTGTCTCTTATCAAGTGTTGATGCAGTTGAGCAGACTTCATTTACTATTAATAATTATTAAACCAGTGTTACATTTCTGTGCAAACATGCATGTTCATCATCAGCATGTTCAGGGTCTGTTGGTTTGATTTTAGATGGTTCCAACTGAGCTGGTGGAGAAGGAGTTCTGGCGTCTTGTCAGCACCATCGAGGAAGACGTCACTGTGGAGTACGGAGCAGACATCGCCTCAAAGGAGTTTGGGAGTGGTTTTCCTGTGAGAAACGGCCATTTTGAAGTCCCTGCAGAGGATGAGGTATCGTATCTCTGTCATGGGAATGAATGTGTTCTACTGCCAAAACATGTTTTTCTTTATAATTAGAAAATTTGACATTACGCGTAAACATGCAGAAAAGCCAGTTGTAAACTTAATCAACATGGACACAAATCTATAATGAAAAGGAAAGCATTACAAGAAAAAAGTATTTTAACAACAGTTGTTTGCAGTCTGCTGTGGAAATCAAACTCACAGGTTCTTTATTATATTTATCCTAAAAGTGATGTCTAGGCTGGATCTGGGTGTGAGGTTAAAGCCAAGTGTTGGGCTCTGTCTCTGACCTGCAGCATTACCTGACCAGCGGCTGGAACCTGAACAACATGCCGGTGCTCGACGCCTCGGTGCTGACTCACATTACAGCCGACATCTGTGGGATGAAGGTCCCCTGGCTCTATGTGGGGATGTGCTTCTCCTCTTTCTGCTGGCATATTGAAGACCACTGGAGCTACTCCATAAACTATCTTCACTGGTACAGAACCTTCTGCAAGCTTGATCAGCAGCATAGGAACTTGATCTGCACGATGTTGGAAGTAATTGACATTAGTCTTTTTCTAACTGCGATATATGAATATATTAAAAATAAAGGAACAACAAATGACTTGAATATCAGTTAAAATAAATTATACTTATTCCAGACATCTAGTTAAAATCTGACCTGTTGGTGTTTTACGTACTGTAGGCAGTAAATTACATAATTTTGGGTCAAATCAGTATTTGTCACAGTGATACTGTAATACTGTAGGCTTGGTAAGCGTTTGTCAATCTGCTTGGTGATGCAAAATAACGTCAAACTCTGTTCGAAGGGTTTAAACCTTTTGAGAGTAAAGGTAGTCTCAATATATGATAAACTATTACCATTGGCACTATTGAGATGTAATTTATTGAAATACGGGTTTAGTCAGCCTGAATTTATACCCAGAAATAAAACGCTTTGTTTCAGTGGAACTCCACCCACGCCCCCTCTGACAAAGCATGCCTACAACAGCAGCTTAGGCCAGTCAGTTGCTGTATTGGATAAGTTGTCCAGTGGTTAAGGCGTCGGCCTGCCGTCTGTTTTGCCACACGCTGACGTGGGTTTGACCCCCTGTGGTGATGCTCAAACATTGTGCAGCTCTAACAGATCACATAGTTTAGTTATTGATTTTAGCTCTGGTAAAATTTTGTCTGGTCACATGTGCAGGGGCGAGCCAAAGACCTGGTATGGAGCTCCAGGTTATGCTGCTGAGCACCTGGAGTCGGTCATGAAGAAACTGGCCCCTGAGCTGTTTGAGTCCCAGCCTGACCTCCTTCACCAGCTGGTGACCATCATGAATCCCAACACGCTGATGAACAACGGAGTCCCGGTAACCTGCCCATTTACTCATTAGGGTGTGAAGTAAAGCATCACCATGAGAATCAAATTCAGTTGTCAGCTTTATTTACAGAATTGTAGTCTCTGTTGCAGTTTTGCATTTCTTCTGAAAATAAAAGCAGTTTTACAGTAAAAAGTTATTATTAATGGAATCTTCTAATGACTCCAGAAAGCAGCACATTTAGTCTCCACTTTATTATCTTATAATATTTTTTATTGCCAATCTCAGATCTATCGCACCAACCAGTGTGCAGGTGAGTTTGTCATCACCTTTCCTAGAGCATACCACAGTGGATTCAACCAGGGTTTCAACTTTGCCGAAGCTGTCAACTTCTGCACCATGGACTGGGTAAGAAAATGGATTCATACTGTACAGATGTAGTTAGATGCCTGTGAATGTAAGGCCTTATTTCTATTACTATTGCTTTTCCTTTTGTTTTCACTTCTGTTTGTCATTGTTCTCTTGTCGTTCTGAAACCCACTCGTGTCCATGTTTCCTGTCAGATGCCCATTGGCCGCGGTTGTGTGGGTCATTATCGGCAGCTGAGCCGGTACTGTGTCTTCTCCCATGATGAGATGGTTTGTAACATGGCCTTTAAAGCAGACACCATGGACGTTGACCTAGCATCAGCACTGCTGGAGGACATGACATCCATGATCAAAGAGGAAGAGGAACTTCGACAAAAGATTAATAAAATTGTGAGCAGTTATTTAGCCTCAGTAACCTTATTACTAAATTAATGTTGTTTTCTGTGACTGTAAATTTGAAAGTTGTCTATCCACTAGTATGGCATCCACTAGTATAAATAAAGAGAATATTTTATTACGTATTCTTAGTTGTAGAAGACTTTTTTTATTGTCTGCACAGATGCCACACTTGGCTCCACTGTCTCCTCTGTGGCTCTGATGACTGAGTTTGTGTCTCCAGGGTGTTGCACAGTCTCGACAAGTTGATTACGAAGCACTCCCAGATGAGGCGCGGCAGTGCTGTAAGTGTCGGACCACCTGCTACCTGTCTGGCATCACTTGTGGCTGCAGCCCTGACAAGATGGCTTGTTTGTACCACGCCCAGGACCTCTGCTCTTGTCCTCATAGCAACCTCACACTCCAGTGAGTCTCTAATAACCACAACAACTGAACAAACTCACTTGTGAATTTACAGCCATGTCACCCCGCCTTTCTGTCTTAACTCCCCTGCAGCAGATTTTACATAAACGAATGGAATTATTGCATTAATGGTTTGACTTTTCCCTCATAACACCTTCCACCTGAGTCTGGGCGTCTTTTTCATTTGTGGTTTCTGCAAACCAGTTTTTGAGAAAGTATTTGACAGAGATTCCTCCCTGGTAAAAACTGATTCACTCCTGTGGTAATTATTGTTCACTGCAGTTTCAAGTTTACCCTGGACCAGTTGTATCCTCTGATGGAATCAGTGAGGCTGCGCGCCGAGTCGTATAAGGACTGGATTCGTAGTGTGCAGGACATCCTAGAGAACAAAGGAGCCGTGAAAAAAGGTGCCTCATAACTTTTCAGCAGTCTAAAACTTGTTTCAATCAATCAATCAAAGCTTTATATATAAAGCGCCTTCCGCAACCCTGTCAGGAAGCCCAAAGCGCTGAACCGTTTCCATTGTCGTTCTGACCGTTTCCATTTCATTAGTGATGATTAAATATCGAGCTGTTAAATGTGTTTGTAAGGCGTAGTTCTGTTTTTTTGTCAGGCTTGGAGGAGCTTCATAGCCTCGTGGAGCAAGCAGAAACCAAAGCGTTCCCTCGAATAGACCTGCTGGATCAGCTGCGTACGCTCACATCGGAGGCTGATAAAGTTGCTGTAATGGCACAACAGCTTCTCAATGGGAAGAGACAGACAAGGTACTAAAATCACCTGGATCACAAAAACATTTACTTTAATGAGATCTATAATTGATCTCAGACTTGCTTATGCAATTATCTCCCATTTAAGTACGTTGTTGCTGAATCCATTATTTATTGATTGGTCGTTTTTGATTGTGTTATTTGCCAGTTTATAAAATGGGAACAATGAAACAAAGTTTTCGTCATAGTTGTTACAAATAAAACTAAACGAACCTTTGTTTCAGGTATCGATCGGGAGGAGGAAAGACTCAAAACCAGAATGAGTTGTCGGTGGATGAGCTGAGGTCTTTTGTCCAACAGCTGGACAACCTTCCATGCAGCATCCGGCAGGCTCATTTACTAAAAGTAAACAACATTTATTGCTTTTATTGATTACCAAAATATTTAATAAACAGCATAAGTATTTTTTATTTATTTAAATGCTGGGCACCATTGTTAGTGTGGCTCTGCCTGATGTTTCATCCCAGTAAATGAACCGATTAAGTTCATGTGAAGTCCTCAAGTGCTTGCTGTGACTTCCAGGACCTGTTGACCCGGGTGGATGACTTTCAGCAGCGCAGTGACCGTCTCCTTTCTGATGAGTCACCCAGCCCACAGGAGCTGCAGGACCTGCTGGATGTGAGTCTGGGGCTGGACGTGGAGCTGCCACAGCTGCCCTCACTGAGGGAGAGGCTGGAGCAAGCTCGATGGCTGGAGGCTGTGCAGCAGGCCAGCAGCAGACCAGACAGCCTCTGCCTGGACACCATGAGGAGGCTGATAGACCAGGGAGTGGGTCTGGCCCCGCACAGCTCTGTGGAGAGGGCCATGGCTCGTCTGCAGGAGCTGCTGACCGTATCAGAGCAGTGGGAGGAGCGGGTCCTCAGTCTCATGGATGCCAGGTAAAAATGTCATCTAAGAGTTTGTCTTTTAGCTTTTTAAGAAGCCTCCTGCCATGAGTCAGAAGCATGGACTGAGTTCTCTGCACCTGACATCAGCTCAAACATAGAGGCTGCCAACAAGCATCAGCCCACTGAGGATCCAAACAGCACAAATAATAGTTTAGCTGTGTTATGGTTGCAGTATTTTTAATTTCCTATTGTGCCTATATTAATTATACAAAAAAAAAATTTACAGGCCGTATCACAGCATCGACGCTCTTGATGATGCCCTGCAAGAAGTAGAAAACATCCCTGCATATCTGCCCAACTGTCTGCAGCTAAAGGATGTCGTCACTAAAGCCAAGAAATGGCTTCATGAGGCAGAAATGCTTCAGGTAAAATGTACTTCCACCATCTGACTCGGACAGATGTGTGGATGTGAACTACAGAATAAAAATATTGTCCTTATTTGCAGCTGGGAGGGCGTATTCCCGTTCTTGACAGCCTCTCCGAGCTGGTTCTCAGAGCGGAGAGCATCCCTGTGAACCTTGAACCTCTGAGTCGACTGGAGACCCTCGTTGGTGACGTTCAGAGCTGGAAGGAGAGCGCAGCTAAAACATTCCTACTGAAAAACTCCTCCTTCTCTCTGCTTGAGGTACAAAGGAACAATTTGAATGGGATTAGTTTCAAACCTGCATTCTGATTGATGGTTTAAAATGTTTGATGTTTTCTCTTTATTTGGAAGGTCCTGTGCCCACGATGTGATGTAAGGTCTGCCCATCAGAAGTGCAAATCTAAAAAAGCAAAAGAAGCTCCTCAGCTTTGTAAGAAAATCCCCACAAAACTGGAGTCTGTGTGTGACGTAGAGAGGGTGCTCTCTGAGAGCAAAGACTCTGCTTCTGCTGTAAGTTTAACCACATCCGTCTGTTTTATCGGCCTAAATCAGAATAACTAATCATGTCTGGCCTGATCTCTCCACAGATGACCACACTTTCTGAGGTCCGACAGAGGGAAATGGAGACCCTGTTGGCTCTCAGGGCTTCAAATGAATCCAAACTTCTACCTGCTGAAAACTCTTGTGCACTCAGCGTCTGTGTCTGCCAGAAGCCCCCTTCAGGTGCCATGGTTCAGTGCGAGCTCTGTCGAGACATTTTTCACTGCAACTGCGTCACATCAGCTGCAGACCTGGAGTACGGCCAAGCCTGGCTCTGTCCCCTCTGCCAGCGATCGCGAAAGCCTCCTCTGGACAAGGTCCTGCCATTACTGGCCTCGCTGCAGAGGATTCGGATTCGCCTGCCAGAAGGGGACGCTCTGCGCTTCCTCATTGAGAGGACGGTGCAATGGCAGCACAAAGTTCAACAGGCCTGTACAGAAGGCGTGCTGGAGAGGGTGTCTGCAATGGTATGTTGAGATGGTTTAACTTCACACGTGTGGAGGCTGCTGTGTTTTTGTTACAGGATGTAATAAATCTCTGTGTTTCAGGGGAGAGTTGGCTCCAGAATGTCTTCATATCTGACTCAGGAAACAAACGGTTCATCATTTTATATAGAACACCAGTCAGTTCCACTCCAAGGTCAGCATTAACGCTTCTCAGGTGTTTTAGTAGTTTTTTTTTTTTTTTGTCCTCTGACCTCTCTTTGTTATATTGTCCCAGGACTCAGCCCTGAGCTGGAGGAGCTCATGGTGGAGGGCTTCCTGCTGCAGGTCACCCTGCCTGAGACCGAGCAGCTCTACAGATACCTGTTGTACAAACTCGCCCCGCTGCCTTTGCACAGCGCCCCCTATGGGAACGGAACAGAACAGTCTCAGAGAGGGAGTCCCCAGCACAAGGTAAAGGACAATACTTTCATTTATTTTTGTTTAGGACACCACCATTTACACAAGAAAATATTTAGAGTATGCCGACCAGAATCCTGAACTTCAAAACTTTTTAATGTTAATTTGTCTCTTCAGAACGGAGTGTCCAGTTTGAAAAGTGAGGCAGCAAACAGACAAAGCAAAAGGACTAAACGGCGTAAAGACAGCTCTGACTCTCATCATTCTGAGAAGGCCAAGAAAAAGAAGAAGAAACTCAAGAAGAGCAAAGAAAGGAGTGAGGAGTCAAAGAGGACGTGCTCCCCCTCACACACCGTATCCGACCCTGCCCTGTCAGATTCAGAGGAGGACTTCTCGCTGTGTGCTGCACCTTGGTGCAGAGAGCCCGAGGGCGACGAGGTACTTCTCTTTAGTCCAATATTCCTCAGCATCTTTTAGTATCTGGCTTCATAATTCTAGCATGATATGTTTTCATTTCAGGTGAACTGGGTCCAGTGTGACGGCAGCTGTAACCAGTGGTTCCATCAGGTGTGTGTTGGACTTTCTGCTGAGCGAGCAGAGAAAGAGGATTATGTCTGCATAAGCTGCACACAGCCGGACTATGACCGAGGAGAATGAAGACCAAAAACAGATGTTGAAGGCCGAGCAGCTGTTTGTAAACCAGCTGCAGCACTTACATGCACACCTGAACTCTGTGTATGCTGTGGCTTCTCCTTTTTACCTTCTGGCTTTGCCCTCAGTGAACATGGTGCTATTTCCCTTTTCTCCCCTCAGAGTTAATAAAGACTCCTGTCACTGTTTTTGTCACTTAGCTGGTTTTTCAGCTAATCAACTAATCCTTTATGAGACTTGCCGAGATACGGATGTGGTCAAAGAAGAACCAACGGCGCAGGGATTTTTCAACCAAAAAATGTCAAGTTTGACATTTCAGAGCGGATTTTCTTCTTCGACATGCATCAGAACAATGTGAAACTTATCTTTCTCTTGTAGAGTAAATATTATTTATCTGAGCAATAGCTGAGCAGATTAATTCAGGTCCAGTTTTCACCTGAGCTATATTTGTGTGTAGAAAAACTTTGATAAGATGCCTTCCCGAAGCAAAAACCCTGAAGATCTCACCTCACAAACCCTGTAATCTTCTACAGCACAGTCAGAATTTGTTGTCTCCCCTAAACAGAAATGGCTCTGTGATCCTACACGTGCAAAAGTTTGCACCTCATGATCTACCCACATCTTTTAATAGTTCACTGGCTGAAATATGAAGTTACACTTCCCTCTTGCGTTGTCTGCAGAGGAAGAATGCAGTTCCGGACTCCTTGTTCCTGCTGGTGGATGAGACTAGATTATATTCACAAAGTAAGAATGAACAGCCCGACATCAAAGGAATGTACATTTAGTTTTTGGGTGGATTTTCCCTGTATGGTTGAGGTTGAACATATTGTGTTGGACTTAGATTTAAGACAGACTGTGTGATTTATCTGCCACAGGTATATGACCTTTTTCTTGCTTCTTTGGATAAATAATATAATTCATATGTTGCAGTTTGCATTATTAAATAAAATGTTTGTTCCCAAATGCCTGGCCTGGACTCTTTAATCCTGTTAACCCACATTCATTATTTTGCGTTTTTTTAGGTTTGTTTTGTTTTTTTCCAACCACATCGGTAATAATAGTTGCATTTGCAGCCGAAGCCTAGAGGCTCAGACTTCCCTCTCCCCAGCTATTTGGGCCAGCACCTCCAGGGGAATCCCAAGGCGTTCTCTGGCCAGCCGAGAGACGCAGTCCCTCCAGCGTGTCTGGGGTCTTCCCTTGCGTCTCTTCCAAGTTGGATGTGCCCAGAAAACCTCACCAGGCAGGTGTCCAGGAGGCATCCTGAACAGATGCTCGAGCCACCTCAACTGACTCCTCTTGATGTGGAAGAGCAGCGGACCTACTCTGAGCTCCTCCCAGATGATTGAGCTTCTCATCCTACTTATCAAAAGATTATACATTACTAAGGCATTTTCAGCATACGAGAATTTTTTTAAAGACATTTCTGTATCGCATCAATCCTGACTGTAACAGCAATAGTGAGATTATAATACGTAAAATTAGATTTGATTTTCATCTTAGAAGTATTTCATCCATTCAACTATGGTAGAAAATATATACGTTTAGAGGATAAACTACCAAAAAACAATGTGTCTTCTTGACACAGCTGAGCCTGACAGTCTGTACTCGGGGATTAAAGCGCCGCGAATCTGCTGGCCATTTTCCTCTTCTTGTTAGCTTACTAGCTCATAAGGCTAGTCTTCTAATTATTGCGTTTGCCGGAGTAAAACAAACATATGCCATATTTAAAATTTACAGCTCGGTCATTTTAGCTGTATCGGGGCTTCCTTTCTTTCCGCCGTCATGGATGAGGAGTATTACACAGGTGGAGGAGACTGGGAAGGCCCAGACGGTAACCTGGTGAGGACGGGACTTGTTGCTGTTAGCATTAGGTTAGCCTCGGCTTTAGTGAACCGTTGACTTTCTAGTAGTTAGTTAGCTACATACAGTTAGCTGCATGCTAGATAACTGCGCAGATGGTGTATTCACTATTAATTCATTTGTACTATTTACTGTTGAGTATTTTGTGTTATTCGAATCACCAAATTTCACCATAGTTATATCTATTCTTGTGCAATTAAAGTAAAATATTCATATCGACAGACCCAGACGCCAAAATAAAGCTATATTTCAGTTTGGCACATTAAAGCTACTTCTTTTTTTTAAACCAGTTTATTATGAATGAAACTAAAGGCACAGTTCGAACATACTCCTGTGTAGTTTCAGATATGATTTTTATGTAGTTTAAATACAAAGATAACCTCAATGTAAATTAAACAAGCGACAAAATGTAGCTGTTTGGGGGCAAATATTGTTCGAAAACAAGTCCTAATTGTTACTGAAGTACAAAATTGCTGTTTAAAATTGACTTTTTAATCACAAATTCAATTATATTTTTGTATCAAATGAGCAGCAAAGGTTTGCATTTAAGTAAAAGACGTACTTCAGTAGCTTCCAATTAAAAAAAAAACACATCACTGACTGCACCATGAAAGACAGTGAATGATGGACACAAAAAACGCATTGTTCAGTCCTCCATAGGAAGATCGTTGGTGTCCACATATATGTTGGGTCATTGATTCTTTCAGGATGATGTTTATGATGAAGGAGAAAGCGATGGGAAAGTCCAGGAGGACTGCCTGCAGAAATTCTCCAGCAGAGATTATATCATGGAGCCTGCTATATTCAACACATTGAAACGGTAACATTTAGCCTTAAAATACAACTATAGTTTAATATTTTTGGGTTTAAAAGTTTAGAAACTGTAATGCAGAATCAAAAAGAAGTCATGCTGTTGTGTTGCAGGTATTTCCAAGCAGGTGGCTCTCCTGAACATGTCATCCAACTTCTCTCAGAGAACTACTCAGCTGTTGCTCAGACGGTCAATCTTCTAGCGGAGTGGCTCATCCAAATGGGTCAGTAACATGTGGTTAACATTATACGTTTTGTTCTGCATTTTATTTTTTGTCTTTGTGTTGCCTGCAGGTGTGGAACCGGCTCAGGTCCAAGAGCGAGTAGAAAATCACCTCAAGAGTCTCCTCATAAAGCACTTCGACCCCCAGAAAGCTGATTCTATCTTTACTGTGGAGGGAGAGGTAAGACTTCTGAACAGTCACAAAACCTATTAGAGCATATTGTGGGTGAGAAGTAGCTCACATTTCTGCTGTTTTTTTAGACGCCTGCTTGGCTTGAGCAGATGATAGCACACACAACATGGAGGGATCTGTTCTACAAGCTGGCAGAGGCTCACCCCGACTGTCTGATGCTCAACTTCACTGTAAAGGTAAAGTACAGATGTGTGTGTTATGCTCAGTTTCTTTTCTCTATGTTATTATAAGTTAATCTACAAGACTTTATAAATCCGGTCAGTTTAATCTTTAAGGAGGTTTCCTTTTTTTACTTGTTTTGAGACCTATTAGTAGGAATCGAGGCTTATTTTGTTGCCGGTTGTGTGTGTGTGTGTTTAGCTTATTTCTGACGCGGGTTACCAAGGAGAGATCACCAGTGTTTCGACAGCATGCCAGCAACTGGAGGTTTTCTCCCGAGTGCTGAGGACATCTTTAGCCACGTTGCTGGATGGAGGAGAAGAAAACTTGGAGAAAAATCTGCCAGAATTTGCTGTGAGACTTGCTTCTTTTCCTTTATCCCAATGTACACGACAACTTTTGACCCCATCAATAAGGCTTATCGTGTGTTAAGTGTTTTAGTTTAGTGTAACATTTTTTGGGACAGTCTCTGATCTTATCATGTTCCTGTTTTTGTTTTTTTTCCCCTAATAAATTCTTTTTTATTTAGTGGTTGTGGTTCATTTTGGATCACTTGTTTGGTGTATTATTATCTTAACGTGGTTGGAACTCTGGGAGACATTTGTAAAATTGAGTTGATAAGAGGGCTGCGCAGTGGTGCAGTGGTTAGAGCTGTTGCCTTGCAGCAAGAAGGTCCTGGGTTCGCTTCCTGGCTTCGGATCTTTCTGCATGGAGTTTGCATGTTCTCCCTGTGCATGCGTGGGTTCTCTCCGGGTCCTCCGGCTTCCTCCCACAGTCCAAAATCATGGCTGTTAGGTTAATTTGTCTGTCTAAATTGTCCTTAGGTGTGTGTGTGTGCATGATTGTTTGTCCTGTGTGTCTCTGTGTTGCCTTGCGATGGACAGGCTCTCTGTCTAGGGTGTACCCTGCCTGATTGCCCATTGACCGCTGGAGATCAGCAGCCGCCCCCCCCCCCCCCGCGACCCTACGTGGACAAAGCGGGTTCAGACAATGGATGGATGGATGGATGGATGGAGTTGAAAAGATTTATTTGCTTATTCTCTTTCAGAAAATGGTGTGTCATGGAGAGCACACCTACCTCTTCGCACAGGCAATGATGTCCATCCTCGCTCAGGAGGAGCAGGGCGGTTCAGCTGTTCGTAGGATCAGCCAGGAAGTGCAGAAGTCCGCACATGAGAGGTACTCTAGTCATGTAGCCATGTTGTTATGCTCATGGTTGATCTTAGGGCTAGGAGGTCAGGATTTAATGCATAAACAAATTAAATGGTGTAAAAGCAGGGTTTCCCCCAGAAAATGAGTTAAGCCTGGCGGATTCTGCCGTCGGGGGGTGGGGCCCGCGCTCTGTCCCGCAGCGCTCCTCCGTGAGACTGGGAGTTTTCTCACCAGTATCAGCTGATGGAGGGCTCTAGTTTTGTTGCGCCGTTCGTGCCGCCAGGCTTATAAAGCACTGGGGGAAACCCTGAAAAGTAACTAGTTACAGTCCATGTTAAAGAAGAAAGTGCTAGCAGCTTGATTTTGTGTGTGTGCGTTTAGTACACGTCAGTATCACTATTAACGCTGATTTCTGTTTGAATCCAGGGGTCATGATGCCAGTCAGATCACCCTCGCACTCGGTACGGCAGCAGCCTACCCTCGAGCCTGCCAGGCTCTGGGCGCCATGTTGTCCAAAGGAGCCCTGAATCCTGCCGACATCACAGTTTTGTTCAAGATGTTCAGCAGCATGGACCCGCCTCCTGTAGAGCTGGTGAGAATAAACTCCTTCCCATGTTTTATCCCTTGTGAAGGTGCTCTTAATTAAAACATTGGTGTTTTCTGCCTTTTAGATCAGGGTTCCTGCCTTTCTAGACCTGTTCATGCAGTCTCTTTTCAAGCCTGGATCAAAAATCAACCAGGACCATAAGCACAAATACATCCACATTTTAGGCTACGCAGCCAGCGTTGTTGAGACGTGGAAAAAGGTACAGATACATGTTTGAAATGTGCAGAATTCACATGTTTTACTTGTCATCTTGATCCACTGAGGCCTAGTCCACACGTAGCCGGGGTTTTTTAAACACGAATATCCGCCCCTCCAAAAACTTGCATCCACACCACCGCGTTTTAAAAACAAACTCTGTCCACACGTACCCGGATAAATACGTTGTTAAGGACATGCCAGACCTGTAGGCGGCAGTACTTACCCCGTTCTTAACCTCGTCCTTCGTCTGTGGTCTTCCGCAAGGAGCAGTAATTCCGCTTGCAAAAACAAACAAGCAGAAAGCGCTTGGACAATTGATGGATCGGGTAGTGACAGAGCACAGCTTTGAGGGCATCCATGATGCCGGCTAGTGTAAACACAGGTCGCACACGTGATGTCAGCATTTTTTGTCGCGGAAAGTGACGTTGCGGACCTTAAAACTCCGGTTTTGTCTGTCCACACGCAGACACCCAAAACGGAGAAAACGCAGATCTTCACTTTGGCCGGAGTTTTTAAAAAGATCCGTTTTTGTGTGGATGACAGGCCAAAACGTAGAAAAATATCTACGTTTTGGCAGATCCCTGGCTACATGTGGACAGGGCCTGAGACTGCAGTCTTCCTAACGTTTTAACCCTCTGTCTTAATACCAGAACAAGCGAGTCAACATCAATAAAGATGAGCTGAAATCAACTTCCAAGGCCATAGAGACCGTTCACAACCTGTGCTGCAATGAGAACAAAGGAGCTACAGAACTGGTGGCTGAACTCAGCACCTTGTACCAGTGCATCAGGTCGGTCTAAAGGGAACACTGTTGAGTAAAGGATGATGGATTACAGCTTAGTGGCACTGTTGAAAGTAACGTATTGCAAAAGTAATGGCTTATAGGAATATGTTGCTTTTTTCAATAATACAATATCAGTAACTCAAGTTATATTAAGTGCTTTCAAAATGATTTGCATTGATATACGGATTAAAACATGCTAAAAGCTCTTCTAAAAATGCTACTGTTGTGAGTAGGGATGTTCAACATTATCGGTCACATATACATCAAACTCTTCAGCTATTCTCTCAAAATGTCAAAATATGACAGATCTGAGTAGGGGTAGACCGACATATCAGTTGGCTGATGTATCGAGCCGATGTTTACCGGTTTTTATACATCAGCATCGGCCGATATTTGTCCTTTAATAAAGCCAATTTAAAGTCAGGCACATCCTTGGGCAGCCTGGTGCTGTTGCAGGATTTAATTTAAATGTATTTTTACGTTCACTATTAACTTCTGCATAATAAATACTCTAAATTAACTTTATTTAGGTGTCTGACTTTAACACATATCAGTAATAGAAAAAAAATAACAGTCAACCTCTAGATCTGAAGATACTGTAGTTTTTTCTGTTTGTGAAGTAGTAGTTGGGATCTGCTGTCCTCACAGCACATGGCTACGCTACAGCAAACAAACAAAAACTAAAATCTTCACACAAAGTTTGCTTTTCTCTTCTGAACATCTTTATAAATGTTTTATCACCATAGCTGCAATATAATAACATAATAAGTAAGAGCACATTATTACTAACTAATGCACACTTCTTGGCGTCACACTTAGGGAGAATGAGATTCAGATGCAATATGTCACTTTTCCTATGAATAACTTAAATTGAAGTAGTTGTCATTTTGCACAGAAAATATTTAAAGTTTAATCATTGGAGATATGTGATGATGGCAACCTAAAATGTTTTATTTTTATTTATTTTTTTATGACAGAGGGACACAGCAAATATTGGTATCAGTGTCTGAAATTATGAGTTAGACCAGGGATTCCCAAAGTGTGGTGCGCGCACCCCCGGGGGTGCGCGAGCTGCCACTAGGGGGTGCGCAAGGTGAAAAGTGTAATGGCTGCGGAGCTCAGAGAAGTCTGTCAGATGTCACCTTTAACGTAGCCAGAAACTCATTTGTGGGTGGGCCAAAGAAATAGTAAGAGGGCACAATAAATTTAATTGAAAACAAGTATATTTTTGCGTGTGTGTCCTCCACATGTGCCCTAACTTCATAATAACAATGCGCCGAGCTTCAGCACTCTGGCCTGCGCACGCCGATATGTTCCGTATTTGATCATTTTTAACGGTGTTGGAGAAATCTGAAGGTGGCGAGTCATTCTGGCAGATTGTAATTGACACCCTGTCTCATGCAGGTGTTCTGACATTGTAAACCTCACACACAGAACATTGTGGATGTAACTAAATAAATCAAGAAATTATTCCCATCCAGGCTACTAAAAGCGCGCTGAAGATCTGAAGTTCAGAGTGTGTCTGTCAGATCAGACGCGTTCCAGCGGCTCTCGGGTGCACAAGTGAGCACATCTGGGCTGGGCAGAAGTTTAAATAGCACCAATAACGAGACGCAGTGACTTAAACACTGCAAGTTGTGAAGCGCGTTCCATCCGCCAGCCGCATCACCAAGCGGAAAGTGAATGCGTCAAGCATAAACCAAGCTTCATGGAGCTGTGCCCTGCGAGCGCGCGCGCGCGCACACACACACACACACACACACACACACACACACACACACACACACACACACAGAGAGAGATTCAATAAGCACGCACGCCGCGCAAACTCCGGCGCGCCGTCAGACTGAAGACAGAAATGAGCGCTGCCTCCTCTGTGATAAAAACTTTTAAGAGGTTTTATAACATTTTTCATTCAAGGTCAAATTAAGATATTAGCTTCTATTTTGGGATGACGTATTAAAGTCGGGTCCGCTCCAGCCAGTGACTCCGAACCTGAACTCATGCAGCATTTGTTATTCTGGTCCACGTGGCAGCGGATCGCAGATTCAGCCACACCATAAAACAGCAATAAGTCGGTCTGAGGTAAAAGTGAACATCATGGCTATATCTTGTCCCCTATTGACATTTGATTACGCACAAGTAGGTGACCAGCTCAGGTTTACGCAGAGCAGAAGGAAGGAGAGCGCTCTGGCCGCACAGGTTAAATGTTCCTACTTTAAGAAAACTGTTAAATTGCATTGTTTATGTGCTACCTGGGCACTCTAAATATTTATTTAAAATTAAATCAAAGGAAATTGTAATGGTATCGAATGCTTTTTAATTACTATTTAAAAACGAAAGTGATGGGGAAAAAGGTCGATCATATTTTTTTAACCCTGTCTGTTTAGCTTGACCTCTGATATATATATATATATATATATATATATATATATATATATAGCCATGCCCTGATGTGGGGGCTGGGGGGGTGCGTCGACATGGTTGGGACATAGAAGGGGGTGCGCGGCTAAATAAGTTTGGGAACCGCTGAGTTAGACAATATCGGTTTTAAAGCCAATATCACGCATCCCTAATTGTGAGATAACTTATTGTTTATAGTGGGTTTCCAATGCCACCTGGCGAGCAAGAATAACAATGCAATGTGGATAAGCAGTTTATATAGTTAACCTGGTTGTACAAGTGGCGACCTAAAAAATGGTCACAAATATAAGTAGTTGCTCCTCTTTGTCTCAACCCTCCCACTGTCTTTATGGATGACCCCGCGAGGAAAGTTGACCATTGAGCAGGATTGATGGTTTATTCCTTGAGGTCCACGTGGCAGGAGTGAGGAGTGAGCACCACCTCACCCCTGCCACGTGGACCTCAAGGGATCAACCATCAATCCTGCTCAATGGTCAACTTTCCTCACGGGGCCACACCCATTAGGACAGTGGGAGGGTTAAAGCTGCAATGGCAAATTTGGAAAACAAAGGAGCTTAAAACATTTTAACAATGTTCTAATGTACTTTAGCTATAAATATACTTTGGAGATTAAAAAGAAAGAAAGAAACAAATTAAATTGGTCTCGCCAAACCGCCACACTTCCTTGGGCTCTCCATTCATTACACACTCACCTATTTAGCACTAGAACTCCACTGGTGTGAGAGGTTCTCCACTCAATAATATCAGAGAAGGAGAAACAGCCGGTTGTTAGGACAAACTACTAGAGTCCTAAAAAGAAAAACACCATTTGAAGTCACGGACAACAAAAGATGTTTGGACCTAGAAAACAGCGACTGGTGTTTAGTGCTATCTAGTTTGCTCCGGCATCGCGGGATTCCGGTTCCAGTAGAAACGTCTCAGGGAAGATACCCAAGGGGAGGGATTAGTGATTGATGACCGTGCAGATTAGCTATGAAGTATCTAGTTGGAGTTAAGCAGCTTTTATGAAAAAAGCTTTTATTGGACATGTTATTGTCATGTGTCTATGCCTATGTAAGTATGTCTGATCTCAGAATTGTGTGTACTGAAACTCTAATTTCCCTCTGGGATTAATAAAGTATCTTTTGAATTTGAATTGAATTTGAAGGCAGTTTGTGACGAGATGTGAGCAAAGTGCCCCTAGAAGTGCGGTTTAATTAGTAAATAATGTTATCTCTCACACATAAGACTCTTTAAACCAGTTTTCTTTTAATCAGTACTCCAATCATTTCAGGATATGTTAATAAGGACGTCTTCACTGGTCCCTGTTGATGTGTTCAGGTTTCCAGTGGTTGCCATGGGAGTTTTAAAGTGGGTGGACTGGACTGTATCAGAGCCACGCTACTTCCAGCTCCAAACGGACCATACTCCCGTTCATTTAGCCTTACTAGATGAGGTACGACAAGATTAGCGGGTGCATGCTATAGTTTCCTTCAATTTAAAGGTGGTGTGAAAATACCAAACATGATATTTCTTCTGCACAGATCTGCACGTGTCACCAGCTGCTACACTCGCAGGTCCTCCAGCTGCTCATCAAGCTCTTTGAGACGGAGCACTCTCAGCTGGACGTCATGGAGCAGGTGGGTTTCGGAGGCACCGTCACGCACAACGTTTCACCTGTCTGATAAAGTCTGAGTGATGCTTTGTTTCTACTGTAGCTGGAGCTGAAGAAGACGCTACTGGACAGAATGGTTCATCTCCTGAGTCGTGGTTACGTCCTTCCTGTCGTCAGTTACATTCGTAAATGTCTGGAGAAACTCAACACGGATATTTCCCTCATTAGATATTTTGTCACTGAGGTAAACGGCCAAGAACATACGCAGGTTGAATAAAATGTTAGTCTGCAGCCAGTCCCAGTGGATAAACACCAACCACACGTCTGTTAGATCACAACGCTAAGCTAGGTACTTAAGTTTGTTCTTTTTTTTCAACTGTGCTTTGCTTTAAACAAAGTTTATCTTTTTAAGGTGTTAGACGTGATCGCACCTCCTTACACTTCAGATTTTGTTCAACTCTTCTTGCCGATCTTGGAGAATGAAAGTATCGCAGGAACAATTCGCACCGAGGGAGAACACGACCCTGTGGCCGAGTTCATTGGTGAGTAAAAACATTTTAATAAACTTATTTACCCAGTCTAGGCTTTTCCTGGCTTTCCACCACATGTGTAATTGTCACGTAACACGTGCGAAGCTTAATCTGCAGCTAATAACAGTCAATGCGTGCGTTTCCACTGGGTGTGCAGCGGCGCATCCCAGAAATTGCTAAATTTACTCCCCAGGTGCCTCATGTATCAACCGTACATAGGCACAGATCAACAGCATTTAAAATCTCTACAACTTGTTTGGTTCTTTTGCACTTCAGCAGACAAGTTTTTTTTTTTTCTCGGGTAGAACGCAGGGAATCCCCTCATGTGCTGAGGACGTAGCGTGACCAAACCTGGTTAATTAAATGTAAATGACTGAGAACAGACACGAGCACCTGGGTACGCACAGGTGGGACTTATCAGACGATTGTGGAGAAACATGCATACGAGAGGCCACGGCATGTTTCATAGATCAGGATTTTAACTGTTCGTACGCACATTCTAAATTTCACTCGTAGGAATTTAGGAGTTTCTATGAACGTTTGAATGAGGATCCAGGTCTGTTTTTATACACTTACCCTTTCAAAACATGTCAAGCTCTGCAGTAAAGATCTGACTAGAGAGGAAACCAAACACTGGTGAAATTTCAAAATAAAAGACTTTTACTTAACTAGTAGTGATGCGCCGGTATGAAATTTTTGGGCCGATATCCAATATTAAGATCACTGTTATGGCCGATAACCGATATTTGCCGAGATCGATTTACTGACATTAATGCTTCTAAAATCAGCAGATTTTGTATAGAATGAAAATTATTACAGTTTTTCTCTATTGGTTTGGCTCATTTCATGAAACAGAAATTACATTCTTAAAATAGCATGGACAAACCTCCAAACTTCATTTTATCAAATGGCAAATGCCTTAGTACATGTCTCAATTGTCTCAGTGCATCTTTGCAAATGATTAAGTACCTGTATCCTACAGTTAGCCCACATTTAGCACATTTTCCTAAATGAATAGATCTTGTAGATCTAAACTGATTAGTTGATTCTCAGTCCAATGATCATTCTCTCCAAAACATGTCAGCATGCACAACTGTAATGAAATAGATTAGTTATTTAATGAGCCGTAAGGCGTGGGATTCCATAGGAAATATGAAATCCACCTTACGGATCGATGGGTTATTTAAAGCAGAAGATTGGATCTTTTTATTGCAGGGATTAGATAACCGCTACGTAAGAGACAACAGAAGAGAGAGAGTCAAGTTTAAAAGTTAAGAATTTTATTACTAACTAATTAAACTAGACTGACTTTAAAACTAAATGTATGGTGTAACTAAAGTGGATGAGACGGTGGATGGATGACGTGTGATGTCAAATCAGAACCAACAAATCCGAAGAAGCGATTGTTCTGACGAGAAATGAAGGTGATGTTTTCGCATTAAGCTTTGGTTTGGAAGTTCAGAAACACATGAGACACCATCATGCCGGTCTACCTACCTTTCGTGGAAGTCCTCTGTAGATCAGGAATATCGAGGTCCAGTGGACCCTCTCTGGAACCGAGCCGGTAGGAAAAGCCGCGGTTCCGATCAGACCCTTCTTTGAGTTACTTCCGGGTACACGACAGGTTATTGGCGTCTGGTGAGACCCCCGGTCTGGATGGTTCAGCTTTTATTCTGAAAGGAACTGTTGTCGCTGTTGGAATAGCAACACATTTTTCAGCTTGTCGTTGTTCTTTCGGTTAAAGAGTATAGATCAGGATTGGCCACTCGTCACTTTCTCTGGAACGCTTTGAACTGGCGTTAGAGCTGACGTTGCATAGTTTTATACTTCGGATGTTATGGTTTATTGTCGAATGAAAAATTACCAAACACCATCAGAACCACGCCTCCATCAGATCTGTAAGATTCTGATCGGATCAGTGAAAGGAATGTGTTATGTCTTTTAACGCTGCGTGAAATCAGTCCTGTTGGAACACTTAAAGTCACAGTACCTTTATGTTCTATAGGATTATAATAAAGTAATTAATATTTTGATTTCACAGATCGGTCACGTCTTATTTATTGACTAACACTTTGATGGATTAGCTTTATTAAAATAGAGTTCTTTGATTAATTAAAAGAAAAGAGTTCATTCTTCGTTCTTCTGTTGAGCTGAAAATAAGCAGGTTAGAAGGAATGCATGAGACCTTGAGACCAAATGTCATGCAGACTAGTCTTGAGCAAAGAAGGGAAAAACACTGTCATTCCGTTCCATTACAACGACTGTCTGTTCAATTGTCATAATTGGTCAAGAACATGATACCATGAATACTATATATGGATTTCTTTGAATATTTGATACATTGATGACAGTCATTGACAGTCAGGTGATACTAGACCAGTGGTTCCCAAACTTATTTAGCCGCGCACCCCCTTCTATGTGTCGACCATGTCGACGCACCCCCCCCCACACACACACACACACACACACATCACGGCATGGCTATATATATATATATATATATATATAATCAGACGTCAAGCTAAACAGACAGGGTTAAAAAATATGATCGACCTTTTTCCCCATCACTTTCATTTTTTAAATAGTAATTAATAAACATTCGATACCATTACAATTTCCTTTGATTTAATTTTAAATAAATATTTAGAGAGCCCAGGTAGCACATAAACAATGCAATTTAACGGTTTTCTTAAAGTAGGAACGTTTAACCTGTGCGGCCAGAGCGATCTCCTTCCTTCTGCTCTGCGTAAACTGGCCATACTTGTGCGTACTCAAACGTCTATAGGGGAAAAGGAAAAAGCTTTAGCCATGAGGTTCACTTTTGCCTCAGACCGACTTATTGCTGTTTTATGGTGTGGCTGAATCTGCGATCCGCTGCCACGCGGACAGGAATAACATGCTGCAGGTTCGGAGTCACTGGCTGGAGCGGACCCGACTTTAATACGTCATCCCAAAATAGAAGCTAATATCTTAATTTGACCTGGAATGAAAAATGTTATAAAACCTCTTAAAAGTTTTTATCACAGAGGAGGCAGAGCTCATTTCTGCCTTCAGTCTGACGGTATCAGTCTGGCGCGCCGCAGTTTGCGCAGCGTGCACTTATTGAATGTGTGTGTGTGTGTGTGTGTGTGTGCGCGCGCGGCACAGCTCCACGAAGCTTGGTTTATGCTTGACGCATTCACTTTCCGCTTGGTGATGCGGCTCGCGGATGGAACGCGCTTCACAACTTGCAGAGTTTAAGTCACTGTGTCTCGTTAATGGCGCTATTTAAACCAATGCTGTAAAATTACTTCTGCCCAGCCCAGATGTGCTCACTTGTGCACACGTGAGCCGGGGTTCCGCTGGACCGCGTCTGACCTCTGACAGACGCACTCTAAACTTCAGATCTTCAGCGCGTGTGAGGTTTACAATGTCAGAACACCTGCATGAGACAGGTGTTAATTACAATCTGCCAGAATGACTCACCACCTTCAGATTTCTCCAACACCGTTAAAAATGATAAAATACGGAACATATCGGCGTGCGCAGGCCAGAGTGCTGAAGCTCGGCACATTGTTATTATGAAGTTAGGGCACATGTGGAGGACACACACACACACACACACACACACACACACACACACACACACACACACACACACACACACACACACACACACACACACACACACACACACACACACACACACACACACACACACACACACACACACACGTAAAATATACTTGTTTTCAATTACATTTATTGTGCCCACTTACTTTTTCTTTGGCCCACCCACAAATGAGTTTTCTGGCAACGCTAATGGTGACACCTGACAGATTTCTCTGAGCTCCGCAGCCATTACACTTTTCACCTCGCGTACCCCCTAGTGGCAGCTCGCGCACCCCCGGGGGGCACCACACTTTGGGAATCCCTGCACTAGACTAACGAACAGGAAGTGTCACACAGGTGATTTCCATGATCGTGTGCTGCCATTTTTGGCGATGGTGTGGCCACTCACATCTCCAGTCTTGGTCCATACAACACACACAAGCTCCTCATCTTCTTGGATCGCCTTTATTCTGATTTTATCCCAGAAAATGAGAGAGGTCTCATAGGGCCTCACCTACCCATTTATGTTATTGTGGGGGACAATGCCAATTCCCACCTTAGCCCACTCATTGGGGGCTGGTTTGCAACACATCCAAAGATGGCCATGGAGTTCCAACCACCTTACTCTCCTTTCCTCAATCCGATAGAGGAGTTTTTTTTTCATCTCTGAGGTGGAGAGTGTGTGAGCATCATGCTCAGGATCAGCCCCCCCTGCTCCATGCTATGGACGCAGCGTGTGACGACATTACAGGAGATCAATGCAGGGGATGGTTGCGGCATGCACGCCGTTTCTTCCCTCGTTGCATCGCAAGAGAAAGTGTCCTCTGTGATGTGGACGAGATTCTGTGGCCAGACGGACAACAGTGTGTAAATAATCAGGAGGGTGAAGACAGAGGACAAGAGCGGTAGAATGAGTACAGCGACCACTGAATACGTCCTTGTTTTTTGATTTTGTGTTCATACAATTTACTGTATTCCTGTAATGTAAATTTTCTTTTTACATATGTATGAAACTTTCTTTGTGTGTGAACGAAAATGGTTATAATTTCCTTGGTAGTGTGAGTGCAAGCTGTGATGTCAAACCTTGGAGGCTACTCATTTCGGTTATATTGTTGGTCCTCTGCCATAGGGACAAAACATCTAAACACTTTGTATGGCAGCACTCACACAATGCCAAAGGGACGATGCATTTTGGGGGCACTTACTATTCAGATTAGAAAGAAATGTAGTTTTGACACATGAGTGAACTGTTTTAGGAGAGATATGAGCTATTGCAGGTAAACCATGTTGTTGTGATCAACCATCCAGGTTTATTTTGACAAAAGCACCAAGAATGATGAGAATGTCCAATCTGTGTCGAGAAATGAGCCAAAGCTATTGAGAAGGATCTTTGCCATTTTGGAGACACTGACTGTTTAAATGAGAAAGGGATTTAGATTGAAGCCTGAGTGAACAGTTTTGGAAGAGATATGAGCGTTTGCAGGTGAGCTGTAGTGTTGTGCTAAACTGTAAGAGTGTTTTGTCAAATGGTCTTAGAGGTTTGAGAATGTAATTTCTGTTTCAACAAATGAGCCAAACCAATGGAGAAAAACTGTAAAGCTGATTTTACATTATTATGTACACACACAACACACACATTTACGCTTCTGAGATGATTTCATTCACTGTTCACATGACTAAACAATCACACACCACCACCCTCACCCTCTGAAACAGGCAAACAAATGGAGATGAGATGGAAAAAATATTGGTTGTTAATATCGGCCCGGTTTTATTTATCGAACCGATACAGATATGTTAAAAAATGACTAACATTGGCCGATATCGATATTGGTGCCGATATATTGTCCATCTTTATTAACTTGTAAAAATAAAAAAGTTATTACCTTAGATGTGTGCTGCCTTATCAAGTGAATGTGCTGTAGCGTATGTTTTTTACCAAAATGACCAAAGTAAACTTTTAACTTACAGGCCAAACTTCTTCATTCAGGTCAATCTGACACTGTGGTGCCCATGTGAAGAAATTAACTTGAGCCAATATATCATAATATTATTATTAATGTTTATCATTTGTGCTTCACACTAAGAATTAACCTCTTAAGTGTTTAAGTGAAGGAGTGATTTTGTGAGGAATATTTGTTAAGACCCTTTAAAACTTGTCAAATTCAGATTTGTCTAAATTTGTCAACAACAGTTAATAAAAATAGAGATCTGCCAGCTTACTTGGTGGGCCGACCGGGTGAGCAAAGCACTTGGGACCATCCTCTCTTTGACCTCAAGGTCAAAAGTCACTCAGCAACGCGTGCGAGTGGTTTCAGACGCTACAACACCTCAGACGTGGAACGTCTAACTTGCAGACCCTGGTAGCATCTCATGGCCGGTGATATCTGAACTCAGATCCTAGGAGCCACTGTGTCCAGTGACATCACCAATCTGGCTGCCTCTGCCCCGGACCGCTCAAGAGCTGCCATCACGCGAGGGTATCATAGACTTGCACACTGGCGTTGATGAATTTATGAATAATTGATAGATTGTTAAACCATACAGTCAAACTGATTTTACAACCCAGACATCACAAGATCTCAGATACTTACAGGTGATTTCTGAGTGTGCAGTAAAAATGTTAAACATTAATAATATTTTATTGTGTTCAAACTGATAGTTTAAATTATTAAAATCAACAAATACCGATCTGGTGTAATTTAAGATCTGAAATGAATCATTACAGGAAAAATATTCATTTAAACTCATCATTCATTAATGTATAGGACACATTATTCAAACACTGAATTTAAGCATCGTCCATTTTTTATTTTTTTATTTATTGCGATTGCCTGTTTATTGTGTTCAGCACCTTGGGCTTCTGCTAAAGATTGTGGAAGGTGCTCTATAAATGAATTAAATGAAATGAATGAATTCAACACAATATGATTAAATAAAGTTTGAAAGTCATTTATGTGTCAGGAAAGAAGAGCTTTAGTCAGAGGATAGATAAGTCCTGCGTCTTGCAGCCTTGAGGACTCGTGTCGAACACCGGATAAGTTAAGAATATTGGCTCAAGTTCATTTCTTCATATTGGCCCCCACAGTGTCCGATTGACCTGCATGAAGATGTTTGGTCTGTAAGTTAACTTCTGGTCATCTTGGTGAAAAACATGGCCCTTCGGTACGCTACATTGCAAATTCTCGCGTGATCCTGCAGTTCCCTGTAGGAAGGGACACGTTATGCATCAGGTGGAAAGTCTGGGTAAAGCTGTTTTACAAAAATAAACCATCTTCATGCTTAAGCACTAATGTTTGCTGTTTGTGTTTTCAGCTCACTGCAAGTCGAATTTCATCATGATTAACTGACTGGGTTCAATGTCTAATTTCAACTTGTTTTTTGAGGGGAAAAAAACTTTTTTTTGGTGACATTGGTCTCTGAAAGGGTGAAATATGAACAGTAAAGACAGCCTTATCTTATTTCATGTTTTTTTTTAAATAAAAACCTGAATGTCTAGTTTGATCCTTTTTAATTTGTTATTAAAAATGTAAATAAAAAAATGCCATTCAGCCTCAGTTTATTCTGGAAAACCATGGATAAAAACACAGTAAACCTGTTCACAGTGATTTAATGTAGACAGGAAGTGCAGCGTTACAGAACTTTGGCTGATATAAGAAACTGAATTAAATACAAACAGGATAACTGGACTGACAGGATCAATATGTGAAGCATCACGATGCATTTACTGACAGATTAAAAACCAGGAAAAACACTTCCTTGCCTAACTTGAGGTACAATTTGTTCAGCATAAAAACAGACCCGTAGCATTAATCTAAGCTTAGCATCAAATGCTTATAAGGCACATTTAAGGTTGTTTTCTGAACTGTAGTGCAGCGTTGTCAGCAGCTCACACTGGAAACACTGCTCTCTTTGGCTGAGTAGGTTGCATTTATGAAGTAAGCCATATACTCTAAACATTATAAACTCCAGAAATTAACTAAGTGGTTCCTCAACAAGCAGCGTTTGATCTTATCCTAAAGACAAAAACAGTTTTTACAGGGTATCTGCAGGTTTAAGGGAGCCAAATTTAAGACTTTTTAAGACCTTTTTAAGGTCACTTTCACCAAATTTAAGCTGTTTAAACAGGGCAGCAGTAGCTCATCAGGTTGAGCGGGTTGTCCAGTAATCGGAAGGTTGCAGGTTTGATCCCGACTCCGGACAGAGAATTCTGCGATTGTGTCCTTGGGCATGACACTTAACTCACCTTGCCTGCTGGTGGTGGTCGGGGGACTGGTGGCGTCTGTGCTCAGCAGCCTCGCCTCTGTCAGTGCGCCCCAGGGCAGCTGTAGCTACATCGTAGCTCATCACCATCAGGTGTGAATGCGTGTGTGTGAATGGATCAATGATACACTGTAATGTAAAGCGCTTTGGAGTCCTTACTCTGACAGGCACAATACAAGTGCGGGTCATTTATCATTTTTAAAAATTTATTTTAAGCTATAGTTTCCAGCTATTGCCTGGAACCGTTGCTAACCACGCCACGATCGTGGGATTAGTCATCCAGTTACCATTTAACTTCCACTTCCCCATGGCGCAAGCTCCCACTGGCTTAACCAGCTAACGTGCTCATCTAAAAATAGCTCCCTTTCACAACCAACTGAACATGTACGGTTCCGCTTACGCCAATGTCATACACAAAAAATGCTGAACACTAACTAGAAATTCACGAAAATTTTATAGAAAAAAAAAATCTTGTTTATTGGGTCCTTGGTCATTTAAGACCTCTGGAAACTGTATTTAAGGATTATTTGTCATTTTTAAGGATTTTTAAGGCCTTAAATTTGGAAAAGCTAATTTAAGACTTTTTAAGACCCCGCAGATACCCTGATTTACTGCTGCTCAGCAAGAAAAAGGGATGGAAGACTGTTGAACAGACTGTAGTAATATCTGGTAAACATCTTTGATGTGACATGCACTGATTAAAAAAAATCTGAACTCATTCCCTTTCAAACAGATTACAAAAAGCTTCCCTTTTCCCCTTGATGGATGGCTGAGCTGGTCTAAAGATATTCTTTAGGGACAATAGGGTCTCCGTACATGCAGTCCTCCTCCAAAGCCAGGTTGTACTTGCTGCCACTTCCTCCTTTGTAGGCGCTCGTTACGATCCTGAGCCAGCCCTTTTCACCCTGAGGGGGATCAAATATTTAGTCCATTTGAAAAAAATAAATTCAAACTTTTTATTGCATCGTCTTCCACGTTTGTCAGAAAAGGGCTAAAGCTGAGATTTACACGAGCATTAGATACAAACATAAAGCTGACACAGGAAATGCTTGTGCACCTTTCTACCCGTGTGCACACAGGAAGTTGGGCTTCTGGTTTAATTATTCTTCCAGCTCGGGACTTACCCACGGCTCGCCCCAGGAGTTACGGACCACCCAGTACTCAACGCCGTCCTCCACTCCCCATCCTGCCACCGACACGATGTGATTGATGAAAGCTTCCTCCTGATATTCAGAGTAGACTCCTCCTGCGTACGCGTCCAGCTTGTCTGTGGCCATTATCCCACAGCTAAAGAAAAAACACCACAGGTTACATCCCGTTTCTGGATAATGATGAGGTAGTTTCTGAAATGAAATGCAAAACTAGACTGGAACAAGGATCCTTTTTTAATCCTGCATGATGATGTAATGTTCTACAGAAACTGAGGTACATTTAAGTTCAGAGTCAAAGACAGGATGAATATCAACTAATGAAGCAAAAATGTCAATCCTTTTTTTATGCTTATGGCTCCTTTAGGATAACAGTTTATTCAACAATTTAATTTTAGATCTGTCAAATAGATACTTCCTTTTCTTTTTGATGCATCAAAAGTAAATATGACTTGCACCTGGTTGCAAGTAAAGACACTATTCAGATTTTTGTATAAAACTGCACCAAATTCCAAGTATTTGCACTAAAATAATGTCCAATGACCTTCTTTCAATCATTTAATCCATGATTTTTCAATCCTTGTCCTTGAACAGTGTTCTGGTGACAGTTTGCCACTATGAAAGCAGCAGAGTGGAAAAGGAATTCCTTTGTTTCAAACCTGATTGGTCCCCTGGCATAAATCTCAGCCATCATCTTCTCTCTCCCGCTGACCGATCCATAATCTCCCACCTTCCACAGGGTGTAGTTCTTGATTATGTTGCACTGTCCAAAGGTGGTGCATGTGCCACATTCGTTGAAGGGATTGCAATCTTTAAGGAGACACAGCATGCACGCCTCATACTTAAACATATCTGCAGAAATTACTCTGTGCCTTGTGACACACTTACCCTGATCTTTAGCCTGGTAGTTATTGCAGGTCTCATCTGGGATGCCGTGTGTGTTGGCGTACTGCCAGACGCCACTATGATCCCCTCCATGGCAGGAACCGGCATCGGCGCAGTCGACCACATGCTGGATGGAGAGGTAGGCTGAAGGCCATACTGCTTTACGCTTAATGTTGATGCGATCTAAAGACAGGAGATAAATCAAGAAATGAGCAGAAGAACCAGTTTCTTTTTAGCCTCTCTGTGAAAACAGGAAGTGGAGCTTCCACACCTGTGTGACATGTTGCGATCTTGTGATTTAAACTGCAGCTAAACCACCATGACTTGGCATTAGAGATCAACTGATATGGGTTTTTCTGTTGCCGACCCGACATCTGCTGCAGATTTTTGGTGCTGATACCTAGACATTTTTTTTCCTTATTTACATGCTAAAATGTCACTAATGACAACATTTCTGAACCAGAATCGGTTTTTGAACACTGAATTGAACCTTTTTAATCTTAATTTTGTGCACCCCTCAGTAGTGAAATCAAACACTGAATAAAACATGGATGTGCCCGATGGTAAATCGAATTTACTGGCTGTAAAGGTGAACTATTTTTTTACGTTTAACAACGGCAAAGGTATACGGGCTTTTATTTTGACAGCGTCATAGCAACCGTGGCTAAGTAGGGAGACACAACACAGAAGAAGCAAACGTAAAGACGGAGCAAAGGGTAGACTATTAACGGTTCACGGAGAAGAAGACACAAAGTTTGAAGAATACTTCTGTCTAGCTTCAGTTGATAAGGGGAACAAGGTTTGTAACTATAATTCAGAATGTTATGAAAACGGAACGTGAATGGGAATCTATATGATTGTATTAGTTGTGAAAAAAGGCTACCAATGTAATCAGTTATGCATTATAGTTTAGTTTATGATGAAAATGTTTTATTTATTTATTTTTTGTTTATGCCTAGCTCTTACGCTGGTTGATACGGACGGCTCAATAAATCATCATTTACCATCAGTTCTGGCCTTCTCAATATTGACTGAATGCTACACTGGCAAATAAAAAAATGGTAAATATTGAACTAATTACTCTTGTTTTAAAAATTCTGATAATTGAACTATGCGGAGTCATACCTGCCATGGCGCTGGTGCTGCCATGAGCCCAGCAGGAACCACAGTACTGAGGAATGTGCTGGTTGCGTGTCGTGCTGACAAAGTTGGTTCCATTGATGTTCCTCCAGTCCCACGCCTTGGGCAGATCTGAGATGTTTATGTACTCATGAGGTCGAGGAGCAGTTCTGTAAGGAGAAGTGGTTTTAGGCAGATCATGTTTTCACACTTCTGTTTCACTTCTTGAGTTAAAAAAATGCATGCTTCTCAAAACTAACTGTGTAAACACTTGAGTTGATTACAATCAAAGTAAAATAAAAATGACTCAATTTTTGCACATCAATTAATTTACTAAACAGGTAAAACTGAAGAGATATGTTTTACAATCAGGTGTTTATTTTACAGCTTTTAGTAAACAGGACATTTGTGTAAATCAGTGCACATTTAAAATCTTAAACCTTGTATTCAAAAACAGGGTAAAAAAACTGTTAAGAGGAAACAAGTCACATGGGGGAATTTTCATATCTGCTAGCTGTGAAAATTACTCAGTTATTTCATTTTATAGTCATCTAAAACATTTTAAAGTCGGAAATCCTCAGTCATATCAATTCTTTGCTATGGTTGTGTATATAAATTAATGTTGGGAAATAGGTTTATTTTAAACATGCACTTGCAATTTATTTTTTTCACATGCTTTGCAGGTAGATAGCATGCATTTGTGTTTTAAAATTTGCATTTGACAATTATTCATTCATTATTACTTTATCCTGCCAGTAGGTGGCAGTGTATGGACACTAGTCTACTGTGGTGACTGAAAGTATACCATCAGAAGAAGTCCACTCACTCACCACTGAGCATTAAAGGGTTAAAAATCTGTCTGCTTGCGCGTCGTAAAAACAGCTGCAGGGAAATACTTCCTCCGTTTATCTTTAACCAAACCTTGTGATGCGAGGGATGTATTGCTGACAGATTTTTTTTAAATCTCAACTGTGATGGGGAAAACAGTCAGAAAATGGAACGAAAACTACTAAAAAAAACTCATGACCAACAGAATTTCACTCATTCTAACTAAACCATATTATTCACATATTGTATAACTAATGTTGCAACTTTATACGCCTAAACATTACTGTTAATGTAATTGTTTTGTCACGCGCTGATTTAACTATGTGCTGACGAAAGCTAACAGCTACCATGCTAGTAGCCAAGTGAGAAAACGGCACTTTTAATAACTTTTTTAAAACATTTTCTTAACGTAACTTATCTGTTACTAAACAGCAGCGACCCCTACCTCAGACCGAAGTCGTTTTTCCTCGGGGTGCGAACATAACACGGCTGCTGTTTCTGGAAAAACACTCCAGCCGAGACACCGAGCGAAAACAGGACCACCAATGCGGCTGTGCGAGCCATTATTCCCCCGGTGAACTGTCACAGTTGTTCAGAATCAGGAGGAGAGGACGGACGGAGCGGGACTTCCTGGAAAAGAATCTGGCAGAACCAGAACACTGGTGTGTTTGTGAATAATTTCAGTTTTTATCAGCCGGTTCCGAGCAGCTGTCACATGACCGCAACGTGTTTCGTGGAAAGTCACGAGACGCACAAGAAAAGGCAGCGATGTGCTGCGCACGCACACGCAGACTCAGGTTGGCGCGTGTGTGCCACCGCTGCCTCTTTTATCATATACATATTTAAATGTGCACGTGCTCTTAGTGGTATATACCAGAGGTGTGACCAAGTCACTGCTTTGCAAGTCACAAGTCTTTCCAGTCAAGTCCAACTGAAAGACAACCAAGTTCAAGTCGAGTCTAAAGTCAATGATGTGGAAGTCCAAGTCAAGTCCAAGTCCTTAACTTTGAATTTTCAAGTCATAATCAAGTCATCTGTCCAACTTCAATTTAATGACAATGATAATAAATAAATCCCAGAAATAAAGCTTCTTAAAGCTCTATGTCGGGCCACTTTTGTGCTAAAATATCAAATATGCTCAAGTCATCATCAAGTCAACCGATGCAAGTCGCAAGTAATTGGCATTCAAGCCCGAGTCAAGTCAAAAGTTTTTATAGATTTGATCAGGTCACGTCAGAAGTTATTAAAATAATGACTCGAGTCCACACCTCTGGTATATACTTAGTTCCAATACCTCATGTTAGATTGTGAGTACTCACTCAGTAAGACGTCTCTAGCAGGAATAAGTCTTTTGAGCATCACCTCATTTGTCATGTCTTTGATGGCTGCATGCCTACAGTAAAACCGTTTTTGGAATGATTGCATTGAAACTACATTTCATTGTACCGAGACGCTGGTTCAATGACATATACAACTATTTTATCCTAACAAAAGAATTTCTAATAAAGTTCTAATTAAATCTTTGACTTTATATGAGTGGTCATCATTTGTGGTGAAAACAGAGACAAATAACTTGGAGACAATTTGTGATGATAAAAACTTGAGACAAAAATCAACATAGACACCTAATAAATCTGGAAAGAGAATGTTCAAAACTCACATGCAGTGCTGTGTAAAGTATTGGCCCTGTTAGATTCATGTAAATGCTTAAAACAAGCATTGTTTGTCAAAAACACCAAGACTTTCATAAAATAATTATGTGGACAGGTGAGACAAAAGTGGGGCTTTTCAAAAGTGTCCAGTTACATAAGGTTTAAAACTAACACTATTTCAGAATAAGAGCATTATACTAACAATCAAACACGGTGGTGTAAGAGTGATGGTCAGGGGCTGCTGTGCTGCTTCAGGACCTGGACCACTTGCTGTAAATCTGTTTCTCAACCCTGTCCTAAGTTTTCAGCACACCTGATTTACATAGGCTCCTCAGGAGGACACCAAGTACTGCAAATACAGGTTAATCACTCATTCACTTAAGTCAGATGTGTGGCAGCAGACACACTGTTGTTTGAAAGGGCAACATGGAAAACATGCAGGACAGTGGTCCCTGAGGACCAGGGATGGACCTTTGACCTTTAACAGGCCATTCAGGCTGGAAACCCCTCCAATGTGAGTGAATTTGAACAGTTGTGTAAAAACCCCAGAGGTGTCTCAGTACTGTTGTTGCCACCAAACAAGCTATGAAGTTTCTAAGCATATGGAGGAAATTGCTTTTCTATAAAGGACCAGATTGATTTAGATCTTTGTTTTATTTAATAAAATCAAACTCTTAACAAAAAGCATCTTTGCCTGTTTTTTTTTTTTTTTTTGTCAGCACTGTACTGTTTGTCGTGTCAGGAGCATTTACCTGCACCTTTCACATGATGAGTGTGTTGGCAGTTTGAAGGTTTATGACACATGGGGACAGATGGCACAGTCTTTTATTGAAATATGTGATTGTCAAAGTATTTATGCAGGAATCCCGTTAACTTTTCAACTTACAGTTAAAACATGTCATAATTCATCAAATCAGGAACTGTAAAAACTCTAGCTCCGTTTGGGGGCAGAGATCACTAAGTGCAGTGGTTACAGATCACAAATCCACTAGTTTCCACAATGTTTATGACGTGTAGGGCACACTCGGTTAGTCGCATGGATACAAAACGTCCTGCTCATGAGGTGGTTAGTTGAAAGTAAAGTCTACGAGGTATGTAGTAAAATCTTAAACTGCAGTTTACTGGAAAGTCTGTCAAAGAGAATTACAAAACAATATAAATCACCACAGAGAACCTGAACAAACATCAATGAGACCCTAAATGCAATAATCGTTTCATAGTAAAGAGGACATTGGAGAAGCTATGGAGGAGATTAGTAACGAAGACAAGTGTGAGGCAGCCTTTAATCGTTTACTCCTCATCTGATTTACAGATTTTCTTTTATTCTCTGAAGCCAAATTGTACCAAACTGTTTCAAATGAGCTCCAACAGATAGACAGCAGTTGTGGAATGGACCGTTCTGTGCTCTACACCAGTCGTCGTCTTTTGCAATCCCGCTCCATCTGGTCCTCGGCCCGAGCGGTGGGAGCACCCAGAGGAGACACCTGGTTCAGCATGGAGTCATCAGAGGCCTGACCAAACAGCGCCATGAGCAAAGCTACACCGAATCCTGTAGCACGCTCCCCCTGGAGAGACAAAAATGTAGGAAAAACAAATAAATAATTAGAAAGTAGTTAAAAAAAAAATAAAAAAAAATTAATAAATAAATGTTTTTGTTCAGTTATTTTAAATACGTGCAAACTGCAACAAATAGTGAAATGTGAGAGAACTGTAGCTGAATCACTTGATCGGTAGGAAAATTCACACAACGATCATCTGTTAAGTCTTTAAAACACTGTTGCTGTGGAGATGCGTTCAGTTTTTAAACCATGCAACAAACACATGTTTCGAACTTCAAGGAGTAACCTTGTAAAGATAATTATGCATCTCTTACTTCAAAGTCCATACTTCAACATCAAAAGGAGGAGGAGCTACCCTGTGATTAAAACCAAAGCTGGGACTAAGGCTAGAGGAACTCACGGCATGAACAGGAGAAGCGATGTCAACATGGACCCAGACCCCGGGCCAATCAAAGCCCAGGTGGGAACCGATGAAGAGGCCAGCACAAGAGCTCTGGGCGTTCTCCCGGTCCTAATGAAACATGACAAAGACTGTGAATCCCACAGCTGAGAGAAACGTCACCATGCCCTGTGTTGTCTCGCTGTCACGTACAGCCACAGAGTTCTTCATGTCAGCCATGGCAGAGGTAAACTCGCTGAAGTGCAGCTCGGGACAGTAAACCAGAGGGTGAGCGAGATCACCGCTGCTGCGACCCGCGCGTATGCACGCCACCTCCCACTGCTCGCTGTTGGTCATCACAGCAGCGTGGTACTTCCCTGTGGAGATTCCCTAAACAACAGGAAACAGTAAGAGTTTTACAGACAGACACAAAACCCATAAAAGGCATTCTCTCTTTAGGGAAGATCCCCCACCTGTGCCCCCGTCAGAGTGGCCATGTCCAAAATAATATCAGCAGACAGGTCTCTGGAGGCGTACACCACTCCATCCGCCAGCACCAGCCTGCCTTCTGCGTCAGTGTTGTTGATTTCCACTGTCCTTCAGAATAAAACCCCAAAACTAACATGTCCGACGTGTAAACCGATAACAGACAGACTAAACCAGGAGCGAGGACAGATCAGAATGTAAATGATACCATTTTTATTTTAAAAGAGTCTCACTTTCCAGAGTAGAGGGTGTGGATGTCATCAGGTCGGGTGGCTGTGGGGCCCACTGCGTTCTCTGCCAGACAAAACACTGCGTGGAGGTTGTCCTTAAAACCCTAAGAAAAGACAAAAGTCTGAATAAGGAAACGCTTTCAGCTGCAGACAAACAGACAGTTTGATGAGGTCACATCACCTGTTTAATCGTGGCCTTGAAAGCTCCCAAGATGGCTGCAGCGCCACCGCAGTCTCTCTTCATCCCAGGCATGGTAGTCTAACAAAAAATTAAAAATACCATTTTAAAAGTGTGCTTTTCTTCACGTTTATCAGATCAGATCAACTTATTTTAAAAAGCCCATTTAAAACAAACCAAATGATGTATACCACAATAAAGCTAAAAATCAATAGAAATGGAAACAAAAGCTGAAAATACACATTTGTATCATTTATATGGATCTTTTTCAAGCCATTAAGTAAAATAAAGCACTTTCAGACCTGATAATTGCTTAAAACCAGCCTAAAGGATTACTGAATGTTTGGCTAACTGACATGTTTGCTAAAACGTTTAGTTTTAGTCTTTATTTAAACAGACAAAATTATTATTATTTTTTTTAGGTGACCATGAATCAGCTTATTCTGTTAAACCAGATTATCTGTGCTCACCGGGTTAAACTTAATTTAGCTTTACAACCATTGCTATTGCACATCCACAGGTGAGTGGGGTCTACCTTTCCCTTGATGCTGAGTCCACCGGTGTCGTACACGATGCCTTTGCCCACCCATGCAATGGTTTGTGTCGCCCCATCGGGTGTGTGGCTCAGAACTGCTAAAGCAGGAGGATGCTCCGCTGCCTTTCCAACCCCATAAATACCTGAACAGGTGCAGGGTAGGGGGAGACGACATCTTCAGCACCAGCGATCAATCACGGAGCTGACAGACCTGAACTAGCAAAGGTCCCATATTTAAAGTTTTCAATAAAACATTTTACTTTTACAGAGAGAAATGAACACTTAAAATAAATCGATTCAGCTGTAATTATATGAGTTTAAAACAGATCACAGTCATTAATAAGTGAACTCATCATCTCACAGTTTATGGAGAAGTTGGAAGGATAGATCACATTAAGAATTAACGAGCCTGATAACGGTGTGAATCGGGGATCACCAACACTTAGCAGCTCATGTTTTCTGTGTGAATTTGATCATCTGTTATTGATTTAATTACAGAACTGATTTAAAATTGCACTTTCCCAGAAGTAAGCACAATCTGCGGTCACCTAAGACTGATATGAACTTTCAAATCAAATCGCTCATTGAGCTGATTGTATTTTTGCTGCTCCTGTTTTCATCACCTTGTTGTTCAAAACTAGAGATCTCTTGATTCTACCTTTAGCTGTTGCACTTTTCTCACATTTTATAAGCCGCCATGTTTATTTGAAGTTCATTTAAGCCCAAAGTAGCTCCAGAGCTAACGTTCTGCGCTCACTGGGTCTATTCAACATCGGTGCATGGCAGGAACATGACCCGACTGTAACATTGGACATAAACTCTATGCTAGGTCCTGTTTTTACCTTTAGATCTCGCCGAGTCATGCTGATACGCCACCGGATCAGTGCGTTGCTAAAGTAAACATGCTTTTAAATCCTACCTGTGTTACTGTGAACAATGGGATATGGCAGAGCTCTACTTCACATCTGGTCATGAAACGTGTTTATTACCACAAAAAGAACACGACTTTCTACTGATTTAGCACCCAAGAACTCCTGCCTTCTACATGCTCCCTAAAATCCACAAGAACTTGGAGAACCCACCAAGTAGACCAATAATTAGTGGTAATGAATCAATCACAGAACCGGCCTCTCAGTTTGCAGCAGATTTTTTTTCATCAAACCATTTGTGTCAGAACTGCCTTCTTTTGTTCAAGATACTACACAAGTACTGAACGCACTGAATGATATAAAGAACATCGGACCAGGACTTCTTGTTACTATGGACGTGGAGGTGCTACACACCAACACTGACCATACAGAAGGACTAGAAGCACTAACCTATTACCTGGACCAAAGGCATTCAGAAGATATGCCTCCTTCTTCTTTCATCCTTCCGCAAACAATGTTTGAGAGAAATGGTAATATTGTGTGTATCTGGAATGAATTTTAGATCTTTAAGTCCACCTCATGAAAAATCGGAGCAGAAACGAAGGTGTTGCGTTTATATTTTTGTTGAGTGTATATGTATACTCTGATTGTAATGTCTATGCTGATGAGATGATGTGGTGGGGAAGAAACTTTGATTACATTATTCTGCTGTGGTCTGGGTCAGAATCAGAACTACTTCAATTTCATTCATATCTGAACAATACTAAGAAAAGTTTGAAACTCAGCCTAGATTTCTCCTCATTTGAAATTAATTTCCTAGACCTGAAAATCTCAAAAAATGTGAATGGAGATTTACACACTTCCATTTTTAGAAAACCAACTGACCGCAATACAATCCTTAGAGCCGACAGCTTCCATCCATCATGGTTAATAAACAACATTCCTACTGGTCAGTTTCAAAGACTTAGACGTATTTGTGACACAGAAGAAGAATTTGGAAGGAAAAAAAATGCTACAGATATGAGCCAGAGATTTACAACAAGAGGATACCAGCAAAGAACCACACTCAAAGTGAAAGACTAAAAGCCTTCCAAGAGAACAACTATTGGTTCCTAAAGAGAAGAACCCACAAAGATCAGATGGTGCTTATTTTGTGACACAATTCAGTCAGTGATCAAGCCAAGATTAAACAAATAATTACAAACAACTGGGATTTACTGAAAAGCGACAGCACTCTTAGGGAAGCTCTCCCAGATACTCCTACTATCAGCTTCAGACGAGCTCCAACGTTAAATGATCAGCTTGTTCGAAGTCACCTTCCTCCACAGCAACAAAGAACTTGGCTCTCAACTCGAAAAGGTAGCCATAAATGTGGAAACTGTGTTCATTGTGACAACATGACTAATGCCAATTGTTTTGATATTTTCTCAGGACGCACCTTTTACATTGATTCAATCATCAATTGCAGTATTTTCATTTGTGGTCTACAGACTAGAATGCCCATGTGGCTGCTTCTATATTGGGAGAACTAAACATGAGTTAAAAGTAAGACTTGCAGAACACAAACAAGCAATCAGATCCGGTATTCCTCTATATCAGGGGTGTCAAACTCATTTTAGCTCAGGGGCCGCATTGAGGGAAATCTAGTCCCAAGTGGGCCGGACCAGTAAATTAAAAACAACTTCAGATTGTTTTCTTTGTTTTAATACAATCCATTTAAAACAAAGCTGGAGCCTGAGGACAGTGTATCCAAAATAGTACAACATCTGAAGTGTACTTGAAAATTTGAAAAACATTAAAAATCAATAAATGAAAAAAAAAAACATTCCTTAGTGATTCAAAGAGCTTAAAGATCACATGGCTAGATCAGTTTCATGCAGCACTTAAAATATATTTGACTCACTTTACTTTTACATCTTTTTGCTTTCGACAGCACATCAATATCAGAAGTCACATCCTGAGTGGCGGCCAACTTCAGGATGTGATTCAAGTTCTTGTGTGAGCCTTGAGCGCAGCTTTGTTTTATTTATACTCATTACAGAGAAAACTTGCTCACAAAGATAAGTTTATTTTCACTCTACATTGTAAAGTTTGAAAATAAACCGTCTCGCGGGCCGGATTTAATCCACTTGCGGGCCGGATCCGGCATATTTGACACCCCTGCTCTATATCCTATGGCAGTGCATTATAAAGATGCAAATCATGGAAGCTGCAACTCTCTTAAAATCACAGGGATTGAATATGTAAAACAATCAATCAGAGGAGAAGATAGGCTTAAAAAAAACTCTTGCAAAGAGAATCTTTTTGGATTTATATTTTAAAAGCTACACATTTTCCAAGTCTTAATGGAGAATTGGATTTTGCTCCTTTTTTTAATTCTGTTTTCTTACTGTATTTGTACTGTTTGTCTTTAAGTTTGTATTTACTTACTTTTCCTTTTTCTCAATTCTCAGAGGTAATTTAACATTTGTGAGTATTTCTCCTCATAATAGGATTTTTCAGAATGTAAAAAAGTGTTTTTTTGTGCGATACTGGTCATCCAATCATGGTGCTGTCTACCTGCCCAACTTCAGGAGGCGTCACTGATTGGCCTTCTTTACAAGGAAGTGAGAGGACCTACAAACATTTTGAGACCTGACGAAGGCCCTGTGGGCTAAAATGCGTCGGCAGAAAGCTTTTAACCATTTAAGCCATGTATCAATAAAGGCTTTTTAACTGTCCATCTCCTGAGTGCCTCAGACCTCTTTTTGCTATACATCCGTGTTTATTAGCTGTGAGATTTGCCAAAAACCACGTGTCACTAAGTATTGATAAATTTTACTTCAACTTGGTTTTCAAAAATGGAAATAATGTTTTTTTTTTCTTTGTCTGAATGTTTTTGGACATTGTTGAATCCGGTCGACCTGTTACAAGTTCAGCTACTGACAGCAAAGAAAGCAACAGAGTCACAGAACTAAAGAGAAGTACCTCCGAATCCTTTTTGTTTCAGTTCCTCTCCACGAATGATGACTGGAGTGATTCCAAGTTCAGACCCTACAGCTTTTATTTCCTGAAACAGCAGTGAAAGTTCTTAAAACCCTTAAAGATGAAGCTCATCAGGGCAGCAACCCTTCACAAACATCCAGTGAAGGATCTTAACGCCTCTAATGGTGAACACATTTCTAGAAATCAGGGAAGATAAATACTTACATCTAAAAAGAGGTCAGTGTTCATCTCACTGCACGGTGCGTCCACAATGCGAGCTGCCAGACGTACGCCATCAGCGGAATTGGACAGACACTAAACAGAAGAACAGATTTCAGGCTGAGGCACAGATGTGAATTCATGCCACTCTTGGAAAAATCGACAAGAAAAACGTCGCAGAGCGATACCTCAAGTTCTGCAGCATTCAGAGGACTGCTGTCATGACCAACGATCAAAAATTCCACCGTCACGTGCTTCTTCTCAGTCCTGCGTGAGGATGCAGAGCGGCGGGAAAAGAGAGGGAAGGCTCTAGCGATGGCACAAGAGGAGGCAAAGACATCCGAACGCTCACACACCATCTAGAAAAGGTCAACAGATTCACAGCAATCAGTGTTTGAACCACTTGATGAGATTTAAAAGTCACAGAATAGCTTTTTGTGTTTATAACTCAAAAGACTCCTTGGCAGTCAGAGAAAAGGATGACAGAAGAAATAAATTATTATTATGAATGATCACAAGCAAATAAACGTTTAGAGGAAGATACTGACCACAACACAGCGATTGTTCCCTCCGGGGAGGCAGGATCTGATCAGACGAAACACAAAATGAGAAGACGACGGACTGTTGTGTCTGCTGACCCGAGAAGGAAGAGCAGCCACCACAGCTTGATTCAGGTAGAGGGGGCAGCTGTCGGTGGGGTTTGGGTTCAGAGTACCGAGAGCTGCCTGCCAGACCTGAAAAGACATAAATCAAACCTTAAATGTCTAGTTCTCTGCAAAGAAACTAAAGCATTGTTCATTCAGCCTAAGCTACATAAAGTGACCTGGAGCACACCACATTTTTGGGAGGGGTTTACAATTTGTGGAAAATGATATGCATGAAGATGGAAGCACAGATTCAGAATCCAGTATTCCTGATGTGAAAGACTGGCAACTCTATAACCACCTGTGATCCTTTATTACATATTCAACACTTGTTTCAGTGTTTTGTTTGGATGCAAATTATTAAATAAATCTCTGTATCAACTTCAGAAAAGTCACCCTTTTCGTATTTATGGAGTGGAAGCCACCTGTGTAATGCTAACATTCAATAAAACTATGTTAAATACAAATCACCAGAGTAGTTTTAATAAATGAGTTATTAAAGTCATGCATGTCAGCAGCAGAAGGTTAAGACGTTCTACGTGTGAGTTTTGGTGCAGGGCATTTCAAAAGGCTCATCCAGACCACAACAAGCCGCAAGCAGGAACCAGATCAGTGCATCAGTTCCGGTCTCGGGTGGTGTCAGCTCTTACCTGATCAGGTGAAAATAAACAACCAGGAAACGGGGACTTTAACCCCACGAGTTAAGCAGGCTGTACTTTAGAGAATTGTAGTTAACGATTGCTGGTTAAGTTGATTAAACAGCTGGGCTATTAATCATTTATAAAACGTGTGTTAGGAGCTTTTGAGTTTTTTTTTTTGTCAATGACAAAAACATGACGACTCGAAAAACATACAGAATTTGTGTATTAATACAAGTAAACAAGTATTTGCAAATATCGTTATTAGTTTTTTCAATCAAATCTGACGTCAGAAACGTTGTTCTTGTGTAAATAACATTAACTCCACATTAGCGGAGTTAGCTTGCGTGGTCTGCCAACGGTTAGCGTGATGCTAACGCTCAACTCTGATAATCTTTGTAAAACAAAAACAGCTACCTCTTTGTTAACCACTGGCTGTAGTTTTCCTTTAATCTGGCTCCAGCTGACTTGCTGCAGGTTGGCCTGCTGCCCCATAATCAGGACCGGGCGACTCTGCGGCTCCGAGTCGCCGGCAGCCGACTTGAACTCCAACACCACGTTCGCCATCTTTGTGACTCGCTGAGATGTAGCGGGCTGATGATGGTAGCGTCATGCTGCATTCATGGTCAAATGTAAACTCGGAAATGAAAAATTTCCATCGGTAGAAATCAAAGTGGAATGCCACCAGAATTACATTTGTCGTGTTCACAACAATCTAACTTGGACAATTGTCCTAGCACATCCACAACCCAACCTTACATCTGACCAATATAATTTTGAGTGGGGGGAGAAAGCACTTATTTACATGACGGGTATGATAAAAGCAATGATCTGCCAGCTTTACTGACCTCTACGGAAGCATTTTTGAACTACACGAATAAACCAAAATCCTCTAAAAATGTTTCACTCCACTGCAGTTTAGTTTTTACATACGTAGTTTTTGTGTACTTTATTTAGTGGAAAAATCCAATATATTTGTGATCAATTTTAAACACAACTTTGAGACGGGTTGTAATCATAGCTCCTCTTCAAACAAACCTAACTGGTAAACAAAACCTAACTTTCATGAGTCAAATGTTGGAAAACCAGGAATTTATATTAATGAGGTGTTCACCACACACATCTGCTACATACAACAATGTGGTTTAGAGATTTGCTTTTCTTCTAATGCTAGAATTCAGACTATTTTGGTTTATCAATCTGATAAGAGGTGCATGAAGTGAAATATGAAAGCCAAACAAAAACTGAAAAATTTAAGCCAAGTGTGAATTTGCTCAAATACAAAACATTCAGTCAGTATTGATTTTCCTTTATATTCCAATAGATAAAACAACACAGATCTTTATTACACCAATAATCTCAGTATGATGCAAACAAACACGCTCTACACATTCAACTACTACAAAGGAAACTTTCAAACACTTCAATGCAGCTTTTCTTTGGAAACACAAAATTTTCTTTTCTACAAATTTGATATAAATGTGAAAAAATATTTTTATTAACTTGAGATGTAAAACTAAGGCAGGATGCAAATAATCATGTGCAAAAAGCCACGTGAGATCAAAGCTAGCATAACTAGGGAAAAAGTAGAAGAGGAAACAGGGCCAGCCCAAGCCTCTGTGGGGTACTAAGCAGGTTTCTTTTTGCCTCCCCCCCATACCAACAAGCCAACACCAGATGATTCATCATTCCTAGGCTACACCATTTGTGTAACATACTCACTACCATTTGCATGTTTTGTAATTAGCTTATAGCTTACAAGTGTTATTATTGCTATTGATTTTAACTTTACGGGAGTAGCAAACCAACAAAAATGATCTTAATTTGCATTTTGAAATGCAGAGTGTTATTTAAGCGTGGTATATTAACCTCTTTGAATATAACATCAGCAGACAAACACTGAATTTACAGTAAAAAAGGTAAGTTTATGATCTTTTGTTTTTCAAATGTTAAATGTTTAAAATGTGCTGAACTGCTAAATAAAACCAAATCACACTACATAAAATAATATTAGTTTTTTCATGTGAAATATTTAGTTTGTATTATTTAAAATTATTAAGACATTTTTTCCTCACCTTACTTGGGGGCCCCTGGTGGTGTGGGGGCCCAAAGCAGTCGCTTAATTCACATATGCCTTGGGTCGGCTCTGAGAGGAAAAGTGTGTTCTATAAATTTTCTTCATTTTCGTGTCAAATAATGGACACAATAATAATCAGTTTGCCTGAATAAGAATCAAAAACAGGTGAAATAAAAATAAATAAAAAAAAAACTCTAAAATGAAATGTATTAGTGTTTTAGACAGAGTGACATCATAGGGTACAAATAACTGGCAAAAACCACCTAATTAAGTCTAAAATCATCACTACTCTCTAAACCCACAAAGTCATTAAGTAACGATAAACATCTGTGGGTGTGTTCTTTTCTTTTGGTTTTAAAATTAGTGTATTTTCCCCGTTTCTTGTTTTTACCCGATTGTAAGACATAAACAAAATAAAGATACATTTGGTTCTTGGAACCTGATATTTGCACCATTATAAAAAATATATCATTTATTATGGTGAACATAGTCTTTAGTAAAAATCTAATGTCACATATTGTTTTGACCTTTTCACGTCTGGCTTATTTAAATGAAACATGATTTTCTCTGAGAAGCTACACAGCTTAGGTAACGACATCAGCACCTTTCGCCAAGGGCAGAAGGACCTGAGAACCATTCTCTATAATTCTGTTTTCTAGACATGACAAATAAAAGGTTTACTTCACTTTCCTCATATATTCTTATAAACACTACGACTACATCTAGAGCAATGCCTGTGGCTATTAAACTATAAATCACGATAAAACTACAGTAATATTTATATTTGTGCAGTGTTTACTATACTCTCATTAGGAAAATAGTTCTGTTAATTGCATAAATTGTTTACAACATCCATTAAATCTTCTGTATATTAAAGAGGCAGTTCTCACATCCAACATCCAAACATTCCTGTTCAGATTATAACAAAAAGTGTTTTGTTAGTTTTTTAGAGAGAAACTCCTGGATTTTTCAGCTTGGGTCTTATTTTTCCCAGTTGAAGCTGTAAACAGTTGATGGGCACTCATCTTTAGACTGACAGGTTAAAAACACAGACTGGTGACCTGAAACTGCTTAAAGCAGCATAAAGACAAAGTTCAGCCGAGGATAAATGTGTTTGGTGGATTAACGCCCACTGATGGGAGCCAAACAGGCCACAAATCTATCAACCCTGATGATTCACTGAACTCATCTGTCGTTTTACAGATTTGAATAATTTAAATAAAAACTGTAAAAATGCAAGGTTTGTAGGCGGATTGGTGCTGCGTCTGCAGTAATTTACCGGTCGAGCTACGTTCCAACCCTCACCAATGGTCACGAGCTTTGGGTAGTGACTGAGAGAACAAGATCACGGATACAAGCGGCCAAAATGAGTTTTGTCTGCAGGGTGTCTGGGTTCTCCCTTAGAGACAGGATGAAAAGCTTAGTTGTCCATGAGGAGCTCAGAGAAGATCCGCTGCTCTTCCACATCGAGAAGCCAGTTGAGGTGGCTCGGGTATCTAGTTAGGATGGTGAGGTTTTCCGGGCACGTCCAAGGCCTAAAGGAGAACCCAGGACACACTGGAAGGACTGTCTCTCAGCTGGCCAGGGAACGCCTTAGGATTCCCCCAGAAGAGCTGGCCCAAGTGGCTGGGGAGAGGGATGTCTGGACCTCTCTGCTTAGGCTGCTGCCCCCACGACCCGACCCCAGATAAGCAGACAAAAATGGGTGGATGGAAAAACGGTAATATTTGTTAACGTGGTTCTAAGACAGGAACGACGAGCTAACCGCTAACATTTTCTCCCCTGTGAGTGTTGCTCGTCTTTATTGAGTATTTTAAGAGTCCGTTTGTTTTTTACTCTGGCTCAAAAAAAACAACACATCACCCATGAAATCTGAGTTCTAAAAGGTAGAAAACAGGTTTAAAAACAAGGCTAGAGGCAATCTCTCGGCACAGAAAAACTCAATTACTGAACTGCATGTAGAATTCCCAGAGTCATCGTATAAAAGCTCAATAAAAACAACAATAATATAAACAGAGGTGTTGCCAATAACAAAACCAGAAGTGGTGCCCAACAATAATTTACAACTAAACAAAGGAAAAACACTCATCAGGTTGAAAACTCTCCAAACGACTTTTTCCCTAATACCTCTAAAACACGAATACTGACTCTGGACCAGGTTCAAGTAGAAGATGCTTGTGTATGTGTGCTCATCTTACCTTCATTCATCTCTGATGCTAAATCCTTCATGACCATCACTACTGCGCATGTGATCCAACAGATCTGCTGATTCTAACATCTTAACATCTAAGACCAGATTTCAGAGCAGTGGTTGTTACATGTGCATGGGTACGTGTGTAGCAGAATACCACACATGTTTATGACCTTTAGTGTTAGCGTGTTATTTAACTCAGGCGTGGCACAGATTTCCACTGGACCCGCAGGCAGCAGCGATGCCACAGTTCTTCAGGATGGGGCCAAAATGGGAGGTTGTGCTGGTGTCGGTCTCTCTGGGAGAATAAGGCTTCATAGTGGAGAGGATCAGAGCCAGGCAGTCAGCCACGTTCTTGTTTGGGGCGCAGGCCAGAGCTGGTGTGTGTCCTGCAGAGGAGCGACAGGTTATGGATCAGCCTTTGGAGTCATGTCAGGAAACATGGATTCATATTGATATTGTTGTTTACCGTCCTCATCTACGGCCATGACAGCTGCTCCTCTGCTCAGTAAGACCTGTACGACCGTGGCCAGGCCTTTCCTGGCTGCTATGTGAAGTGGCCTACGTGGAAGAAAAAAATCAAAGCATGGATCAAACCCCCTCCCCTTAAAAGTCTAGTTCAGGTAAATGATTTTCATCATCACTTAAAACATTTTAAATTGCATTTCTGAATAAACAATCACCATCTTAGATAGGTTCCAGAACAGCTTGTTGGAAGGAACTGGTTTTATATCCAACAGGAGTGATGAGCTAACAGCTAGTCTGAGAAAGGTCTAAAACAGCTCAAAGCTCCAAAACCTTTGATGTTAAGTTTAGAAACATTTAACCCTCTCACTGTCCTGATGGGTGTGACTCCGCGAGGAAAGTTGACCATTGAGCAGGGTTGATGGTTTATCCCTTGGGTTCATGTGGCAGGGGTGAGGAGTGAGTACCACCTCACCCCTGCAAGGGATAAACCATCAATCCTGCTCAATGGTTAACTTTCCTCGCGGGGTCACACCCATCAGGACAGTGGGAGGGTTAAACGGCTGTCAGTTTTACATTTCACAGTTACTCCAGGAGCAATATTAAGAAATTCCTGCTGAACCTGACCTGGAAGCAATGGAAGCTCCACATTTAGCTGCTGCACCATAAAATTAATTCAGGTTAAACTCAGATTAGCCGTAAACTCATCACTCTTGCAGGATTTAAATGTGGTTTCTCTGACTTAAAACCATTCCTTACGCTATCTACCAGATATTAAAAAAAGTATTTATTTACACAGAAACACTCTTTATGAGATCTTTTGAATTATTGATTAAAGTCCCATAGTTGTCACACACAGTGGTGTGGTGAAAATTGTCCTCCGCATTCGACCCATTCCCATGGGAAGCAGTTAGCTGCAGACACAGCCGCCATCGGGAAATAGTTAGTGGTTTAACCCCCCCCACACACACACACACACACACACACACACACACACAATCTAAACCCTTAAAACTGAGTGTCAAGCAGGGAGGCATTGGGTCCCATTTTTATAAAGTCTTTGGTATGACTCGACCGGGATTTGAACCCACTAGGCCACTGAGCTGGTAACAATAGATGAAAGCAGGTACAATAGCTAGTGACCAGATCTACTCACATCTGCAGAGCGTTGTTTCTTGCATTGATGAGAGAGGAATCGGTTAATTCTCCCAGGATCATCAGAGCACACATCTCATGACCCTGTCGATAAAAACTCAGTTTATGAGCTTAAACAAAGTTCTTCAAAAGTTTTAAACATAACAAAACCTTTCGATCTGTAGTCAAAGCCTTCAAATTCATGTAGAAAAACCTTATATTAACTTATAGTAACATTCATGCACATTTCTGCATGCAATGTGTGTGTGTGAGTGTGAGACCTTGTTGCAGGCTAAGTGAAGTGCTGTGTTGTTATTAACATCCACCAGGGTCAGGTCTGGCCTCGCCTTGTGCAGCAAGAACTCTGAAACACAGAAATTGAGCTACAACAACCCCAATGATACAGGTCAAGTCCTAATTGGGTGTTGGATTGTGCAGGAAGAATAGTGAGGCAGACGACCGCAGAGATCAAACCTTAAACACAAAAACAGAAAGAGAGCATCTTTCTAATGTAAAATGACAGAAGTCAAAGTTCAGCCACGAACCGACAGCTGCGGTCTGTCCGCTGTCTGCAGCAACCATCAAAGCGGAGCATCCAAACTGGTCCACAGCGTTGACCTGGGCTCCCCGGGCCAGGACCAGTTGGAGCCCAGCTACATTGCCTGAATAAGCAGCTGAATGCAGAGGTGTCCTGCAAAATGAAAATGAACGATTTATCTCCTCTGAACATGAAAAGGTACTAAAAATAAAATCTAATGGATAAAAATTGGTCACATTTATGAAATAGATACATTTCATCAGCTGATTGGAAATGACTTCATGTGTTTTGTTGGATCTTTTAACCTCCTGAGACTCCAATTTGTATTTGGTTAGCTATTACAGATTAGTCAGCTCTCCTAAACGTCACAATAAATAAATAATTTAATTAATTTTAAAAAGCGCGCGCGCGCACACACACACACACACACACACACACACACACACACACACCTTCCTTTGGCATCGATCATGTGGACGATATGAAAGCCAACAGTCTTCACTAGAAGCTCAGCCGCAGCATCATGTCCGTTGATCCTGTGTAAAAAATCAACATGTTTTAAAACTTAAAGAATAAAATCATCATAATAAACATTCACATTTAGGATGTAGGGATTTGGGGGATTATGGGTACTCACAAAGCAGAGTGCAACGGTGTGAAACGATTTCCTTCCTGATTGCTAAAAAGTTTGTTTTCAAGTAAAATACGTAAACATCCTTCATGCCCTGCAGAACACAACAAGCAAACGAATAACTGCATTGTTCTACCACCAGTTAAAAAGTGGAAACTAATGGTCACCATGGTACGCAGCCCAGTGTGTGGGTGTGAAGCCTCTGAAGTCCAGCAGAGAGTCCAGAGGGTCGGCTTTCTTAGCGGCCTTCAGTAAAGCGCTGAGCAGCGCGGTGTGGCCGCGGGACGCCGCAAGGTGCAGTGGCGTTCTCCCCTGAGAGTCTCTGCATAGGACAGAAGCCCCATGTTCCAACAGAGCGGAGACGCAGTCCTCGCTGCCCAGCACGGCCTGCAACACAAGGAGACAATCTAACGTGAGACAGCTTCTGGACGTTTGGGACATTTGAATTGTGACGTGCAGACACTCACAGCTCTGTGCAGAGCAGTAAAGCCTTGTTTATCTGCCGCGTCTGCATTTGCTTTTTTCTCCAGGAGAATGTGGACGCAGTCGTTGTGATGTCCCAAAGCAGCCAGCATCAGAGGCGTCCTAAAGACATGAACCAATTACAGTCATCTAGTTTTTGTGAGCCAACAAAAGCCGTTTCATTCATTCACTGATCGATTTAAACTCTAAAGTCAAGGTTTAAAGTCTCAAATGTTTTCTGCCACAGAAAAACTGTTTTCCAGTGATTGAACAAAAAATTTAATTTAAGCAGCTAAACTGTAAATTGGTTAAATCCGCACATCTGATGTAAACCAATCAGAATGCACTCACTGTCCCCGAGCGTCCTGACTGTCCAGCATGTCTGCGCTTTGTTCCCTGTTGACCAACAAAAGCACACAGTCCACTTGGCCCTCGGCAGCTGATGCATTAGGATTAGAAAACAAAAGACGATGAGACATAAACATCTGTGGCAGGAAACTGACCAACAAACCAAGCCCACCTGCAGCATGCAGAGCTGTCCACTTCTTCTTGTGATCCTTCAGCGTGTAAGAGGCCTGATGCTCCAACAGAACCTCCACACATCTGGAAAAACCTCTCTGAGCAGCAAGATGGAGCGCAGTTTGTCCTTTAATGTCCCGCACGTCCAGACTCACCAAAGTCTCGCACAGCAAATGCAACGCCTCACAGTGGCCGTAATGCGCCTGCAGCGGCGGAACACACAGTGAGCGTGCAGCAAAGGCCTGCAGCAGCTTGTTTGTTCACGAGTTACTCACAGCTAAGTGCAACGGACTGACTGGAATATTGCTCTCAACCTCTTCGAGACAATTAAAGGAAATCTCCAAAAGCTGCAAAATAAATAAATAAATAAAACCCGTTTGATTCAGGTTCAGCCTGCAGGGAATAATTTAGGAAGAAATGTTGTAAAAACTTGACTGACCAGCTCCAGATGCTGTTTGTTCCCGTAGGCTGCAGCGTAGTGAACAGCACTGTAACCCCGACTGTTCTTCAGGATGGGGTTTGCCCCGTTGTCCAGTAAATAGTCTAAACACCTGAAACACATAAATAAAGAACAGTCTGTGTTTCTAATGTACTTTTAAAGCAGCAGAAAGGAAATGTTCAGTCATTACAGGTGTTTTTCATACTCATCTAGGAAATAAACTAACAAATGTTTTCATTTTCATCTGAGCTTCACCTTCATCACCATCTATTTAAACAGGAGGGCAGCAAAGGCTTGATTTTCTGCATGACATTCTGACTTGCTTTAGCACCCCCTAGTGTCTGTTTGTAGAACCAAAAGCAAAACCCATCTCCTCGCTGTGCGTTCATCTTTTTAAGAACAGCTGAAATGTCTCCCCAGCCTTCATTAGTGTCTCCAGGAGTGATTTATCACTAAAGTAAACAAAGCTTATGATCTAAAACATGCAGGAACCAGATGGCAGCACCAGGTATGTCAGCTCCATTTTTCTACGTCCCATAGAGCAACCCGCCAGTCTGAAGTTGCAAGTGCGATTTTCTGGCCACAAGGGACGATAGGGGCTGGGTGGCCTTTTTTTAACCCTGTAAATGGTCATTTTGGCACATACTGGTTTAAGAATTTTTTTAAAAATATGAAAAAGTTGCAAAGCATCCCTTTAAGAATAAAAAGCTGCTATTAAAAAAAGCTGACTTGCTTTGAAAATTGAGACTTACAGAAAGGCTTCTTGTTCCTTTTCTATGCTGAGGTTCGTTTCATAATTTGCTCCCTCTCTGTGGAAAAACAGGATCGTTATTTGAATTTTAAACAAAGATAAAAAAAAAACTGTCCACATCCTGCTGTCCTGGGTACCTTTGATTCAAACGTAAAACACAAAAAACGCTCACCGACAGAAGGTGTGTGAAGCAGCAGCGTAGTGCAGAGGGCTGCAGCCCGTCAGATCCGCCTCGTTGACCTCTGATCCGGCTCTCACCAAAGAAATAGTACACTGGCTGTTCCCATTTGCTGCAGCGTAGTGCAGAGCAGATCTGAACGACAAAACAAGAGAACAGATGGAATATTGGGTTAAAAAATCTATTCAGTTCTTACCTGAAGCTTTTAAAACACAGCTTACCTGCCTAAATTGTCCTTTATGCCCAGTTTTGCACCACTGCTTAACAGCAAATTAAGACATTCAACATTTCTGCAAAACAAAATGTAATCAGGGTTATTATGATTGCTAAAATATCTTATAATAAAGCAGGTGAAAGAGCAGTATATTTGAAATGCCAGGAAACAATTAAGAGTTGGTTTAATTTAACAAAATAAGAGTTCATGGTGTTTTCCTGCACATGTCACGACCAAAAAACCAACGGTTGATTAGTGGATAAATCTTTCATCTGCATCTCAGATAAGGTTTGGTCTTTAAGGTAAATTCATTAAACATGTGATCATCACTTACCCTCCAGAGGCAGCAGCATGCAGGCAGGTCCTGCCCTGATCATCAGTGGCATTAACATCAAACTCTGCTGCTGGGATTTGGCGAGCTGGTGACATGTTGTAAAACTGGTCTGAGTCAAAAACATCTTACATTCAACAGAGTTCTGATCGTTTTAGAAACAAAACCTGATAAGCTGAAGAGACCCTTACCGTTGGACAACAGCATGTGACAACAGTCAGGAAAGCCACAGAGAGCGGCCAAATGCAGCGGAAGCATCCCATGAATCCCCTGTCTTTAGTTAGAGACCACAGCGTCAGTGTGAGGTTGACAGGGAGGGATTGTCTGAAATATTATGGTTCATAACCATTTATTCATGCCAATTTCCACCAGTTGTCTTCCAATTTTTATTGTTGCATTTGAAACTTATTAAATAGTTGCCTCATTCCAGAATATAGTGTTAAAACCTTGTTAATTAACAACTAGGATCCAATAACCAGACTTTTATGACTACTAAACTCAGGCAGACTGGCCTGCTTCTGTCGGCGCCGTTTCCCAGCAGAGTGCTGATCAGCAGCTCCTGACCATATCTGGCAGCTACGTGAAGAGGAGTGTTTCCGTTCATATCCACACAATCAACCTCTCCACCTACGCAAAAATAGGATTTTATACATTTCATGCACATTTTAAAGTTTCCTGCTGAAATATTTATTGTGATTTAAAGCACGTTACCGTTTTGGATCAGAATCTGGGAGCCTGTGAAGTGTCCATGCCTTGCAGCCACGTGTAAAGGGCTCTTCCCTTCTTTATTCTGTTCCACGTAGGTAAGAGAAATGACACAGTTTAAGTAAAGTCTTCAGAATGTCCCTCTGCAAAATATCTACGTTCACGTTATACCCTCTTTATAAGAATCACCTGCATGTTGACATCTGCACCACTGCTGACCAACAGCTCAAGACACAGGACCCCGCTGGAGGAGGTGGCAGCCAGGTGCAGCGGCGTGTTGCCATGGTAACTGGGTTGGTTTACGTTGGCGCCACGGTTCACCAGCTCTGTAACTACGATGTCTTGTCCCATCTGACAGGCCATGTGGAGCGCTGTGTTGCCAAAAATGTTTGGTTCATTCATCTGAGAAGCAGCAGATCGGGGGGGGGGGGATTGTAACTTGATGCACAAAAGTCAAAAATAATGACTGTTTGAGATCAAAAAACCAAACATGCCACGTGTTAAAGCAAAAGTAGTGCACCACACAGGATATGCAACAAAATAAAATACATTTAAGACACGTTACCTCCACCTTAAGCCTCATGAGAAACTTGACCACATCTATCTGTCCGCTGGCAGCAGCGACATGAAGCGGAGTGTAACCGCGCTTATCTTTGCACATCACATCTGCAGTGTGAGACACGAGCAGCTTCACCACATCCAGATGTCCTGGAAGAAAACGCTTTCATTACCAGAGAGCTCAAACATGACACCAGCAGCTCAACCAGGACTATAGTTTGATTTTTAAAGACAACTCATCCTTCTGTTAACTCTGCAGTGGCATATGGGTTAGATCTGAACGCTGTAACAGCCAATCAGATGTCTGCATTCGCTACAAAGACAAACAGTGATGCAACATTTGCTGGCACAATAAAAATGACAGCAGGCTTCTCCAGAAAATACAAACAATATAGGTTGAATAGTTACCAATTTTTTAAGCTAAAAAAAGATGGAACAAAACTACAATATAAACAGGAAATGTTAAAAATAACTAAGAATATTAAAATATGATTTACTCTTTTTTTTCCCCTCTTCAGTTATGGACCTCATTGTGTCCAGAACAAAGCTCTGATGACAAAACTGTCCAATAGCGTGCACTCTTGAGCACTAGGCCAGCCTCTTTTGATGTTCTCACAAAGTCACTGATAATTAGTTTTTTTTCTACTCATAAAATCTGTACAAACATCCCACCCACCGAGGTGTGCAGCCCAATGAATTGGTTGCCGTTCCTTCTTATCATTAGCGTTTGCACTGGCCCCTTTACGCAGGAACAAGTTCACCATCTGCAGAAACACAGTCAGTGAATATGGGTGTTTATCTTCATCTCCAAGTATACTTCATATTCTTTAGACTGATTTTGTTTACACGACAAAGTAAATGCAGCAAAAAGTAAATATCGTTGCTTCTAACACAATATTATAAGAATGTCACATAAATTATTAAATTGTATCTGTGTGCAAGCTGGCCTTAAGGAAAACTCAACAAAACACCAGAAATAGTCACCTCTGCGTGGCCGCTGTGCGCTGCATGATGTAGAGGTGTCCTTCCTGATTTGTCTGCAACGTCCAGGCTGCAGACGTGTGGGATCAGGGTTGCAGCACAGCTTGTAGCCCAGTTTGCAGCTGCCATGTGTAAGGGAGTCTGCCAGAACTTGTCCCGAGGGTTGACTTCAGCTTTATGCTTCAGCAGCAGCTCCACGGCCCTCTGTGAGGACGACATACATTTAAAAAGTCAGTTTAAAAATCCTCGCAGTGAGTTTTCTACAGTATTTCTGATTAAAACATAAACATACCTCATTTCGTGATGCTGCTGCTCGATGTAAAGGAGTAAGCATCCCCTGGTCCTTAGTGTTGACTTTTGCTCCTGAAACAGAGAACAAAAGAAAATATAAACTTAACTTTCTTTCTACAAGGTACCTTTGAAGTGTTTTAGTTTCCCTGTATTTATCAGATTAGATTCATTACTTCAGATAAAGGCATTAAACTGGAAATAAAAACTGTTTATCTACACCTGAACTTATCAGCATTTCCATAATGTGGACATTTCCCAAATAAGCAGCAGCATGGAGGGGTGTGCTATGTTCTTGGTCCTGAGGTGGAGGGAAAAACACAGAAATCACACTTTATTATTTATAATAGCAGCAGGATCTTTTTGTGTTTACTTGTATGTTATCAGTGCTTTTAGAGCATTCAATTTAAAGGTGTAACTGTTATAAATAAGATGCTTGAATTAAACAAGTATTGATGACCCATGTTAATGACGCATTAAAGACTGGTGACTCAAAGTTATCCTAGTATCTAATACTTCAATGGCCCCAGGAGGAGCTTTCCTCCAATCAGCATTGTTATTCTGCTCAATGTATCGGGAGCCTAAGTCTCTTCCCTTTCTGGTTGGACCACGGGTCCCCAGAAGAACGAAAAAAATGGGGCTAAAAATGCTATTTTCTAATCCTGTTTGTTACGTGCCATAGATTTCACAAATGATGTCCGTGACTTTTAAAGACCGTGCATTTTTGATACAGAGAAAGCGTAGATTTTCGAACGGGGGGAAACATTATTTTAGGTTTTGTGTGAAAATAAGTCCAGGACTACAAATGCACATCACCAAAGTGATGTCATCAAACCAGACACGGAGAAAAGCAGAAGGAAAATGGCTATAAGTTCAGCGATTTTTAAATCCTTCCCACAGGAGAAAAGAACCACCATAAATCTGGCCATGTGGTAAGTAGCAGCTACGCTAGGGGAGAGAAGATTCTGTGGTGACGTTGTATATGCGACGTGCCGATATCAGTTATGCTAACTACGAACTACGAAGAGTATAAATCTCAAAGTACATTGCAGGTGTGGTCAAAACACCCATCATTAGTTTTCATTTAAATTGAAGTACAAAAACAAAGTGGATTAGACAATAGCTCTTTTAGCCCCATTGACTTAAATTCATTTTTTGTTCTTCCAGGTACCCATGAGCCAGAAGTAGATGGGTGTGACTTAGGCTCCAAGGGATGGAGGTGTAGGCTCAACTTGACACATCCCTTGTGCACTTTTTAAACTGCATGCATATATATATATATATATATATATATATATATATATATATATATATGTATGTATGTATAGATTTATGGTGGTTCTTTCCTCCTGTGGGAAGGAAACCCCTTCATCGATACCTAGTGTAAACTTAACATGTCACAGAGTTACAGCTAGGTAGCCTAGCTTTAGCCTCACAACTGAGATGTTTTGTGAAGTTGCAGAACATTGCGAGAGGAGAACATATATATTTAATGATATATGTGTATATATATATATATATATATATATATATATATATATATATATATATATATATATATATATATATACATACATACATACATACATACATATATATATATATATATAGAGAGAGAGAGAGAGAATTTCTACCAATGTCACTTTTATTATTATTATGAATAATAATAATAATAATAATAATAATAATAATAATAATACAAAACATATGAAAAGATTTTGCATCAGATGTCAAAAACAAACCGATTGAAATCAGAGCTTAAACCGGAACTAAAACTCACAGTTTAACATACATTTATATCAAGATGTGTTTGATGCCACAACTGACCTTTGCGTTGACATCTTCGTTATGGTCCAATAAAAACTTCACGTCTTCTGTATTTTGACTGAATATGGCCTGAACCAGAGGAGACTGAAGAAATGCAGCAATGGTAAAGAACAACATGAAACAAAAATGTGTTATTCAAAACTGTTTCCGGTCTGTGATTTCTCAGATTTGTGCAGGAAACAGAAAGTCTCAGACACAACAAATAAAATTGGAATCAGTGACGTTTTACTTATTTCATCACCGAATCAACAATCTAATATAAATATATATTTAATTATCTCTTTACATTAAATAATTTGTTTTGCAAACTTTCTTCGTGGTGGAGCTAACATGACTAGCAACACTGAGGCTGCTAAGTTTTGTGTTTGATTAAATCTCTGGAAAAGCTTTGTTTACTACCTGGTCTTTGATATTTCTTAACTCCATGTCCAAATCGCTCCAGGAAACACCTTCATCGATACCTAGTGTAAACTTAACAACATGTCACAGAGTTACAGCTAGGTAGCCTAGCTTTAGCCTCACAACTGAGATGTTTTGTGAAGTTGCAGAACATCGCGAGAGGAGAACTGAAACGTGATTTTGAAGGATTTTGACACTTTAAAGTTGAAGAAAAGTGTGTAAAAAGTAGCTTTTAGATTAGGAAAAATAGAAAGAAAAAAAGCTGATTTTGCTATGTAGTAAATTTGATAACACAAATTAGTTTTATTGGGGTAATGTAAACTGTAAATCAATTAAACTATAAACAGCTAAATAATGTAGATACAAAATCTATCTATTACTCTTAGTTAATACCATAAAATGCATTAAATTTCACCACTTTTATCCAGCTGACCTGAAAATAACTATTAGTGAAATGCAAAACACAGTTCAAAACAGATTTATTCAATAACTATTGGAGTGAAAATCTAAAGTGACATGTTATAAATAAAGTGTCATTCCCCTCTTCCCATTTCCTTTTATTTTACCATGTAGTCTGCTTTTCCCTTCTGCCTAATCTACTTATCTGACCGTGGCAGTGTGTTGGAAGGTGTGATAAAATCCTCTGGAAATTGGACAAGTTTATGGCCTAAAGTTTAGAAAAGACCTGACTGAGACCTCCATTATCCATTATTTGATCATCCACGTTATGTCAAGTTAACAATTAATATTTCTTTGTAAATTGCAACTTAAAAAAACTGTTACATTTTGGTATTTTTCCTCGATAAAAAGCAAACAAACTGTCTTTGTGGTTTGCTGCCAATCGCAAAAATATCAAAATTTAAATGGGTTCTTTGCAGAGTTGTCTACCATGTATTGACAAAACAATACACACTATTCCAATCTGAGTGGTTTGTAGAGTTTTGTCTACATGCTTAGTATGTAGCTAAAATGATAGGTTTAAGTTTAAAATAAGAAGTCAGGTTCTTCCCATAGTCACGTTCAAATAAACTTTAAAAGACCTTCAGAAAGCTGTTGGAGGCAAAATATCAAGACTTGTGCACAGTTCACAAGTGTAATAATTAAACAACTTTAGTTAACATACACGTACAAAAAGCAGGACAAGTGTGAAATGTGTGTTTAATAAATATAGGTCAATGTTTTTTTTTTTTTTTTAGGACATTGGCCAGGTAAGATATTGACTGCCTCATTTTTACCGCGGCGCATACCAGCTGCTCTGTACATAAAGTTGACGTGCATAGAGATGAGAATGGGGCTAGACTACACAGTGAATGGAGTGGACCAGTAATGAACCAATGAGCGCTTTAGAGCAAATCAACCAATAAGAACAAGACAAGAGTAGCGCGCATGCGTACTTTGAGCCTGCACAGTGCACGCACTGGGTCCACCATAGATATGTATGGGGTCCACGACTTTGACAGGCTGTAGCTTGACAACAGCTTACGTTAGCTTCAATTTAAAACAAATGATATCCGTTTAAAGTCATTCTTAATATTCAAGACAAAAACTGCGTTTTCACCCTCCTGATCAGGTAAGAGGTTTGTTTACTTTGTACAGAGCGTTAGCAGTGCTAGTAGCCAGACAGCTCAGACATCACGGAAAAGTAAAGTTAGTAGCTTGAAGAACGCATGCAGTGCTGTTCAGTAACTTACACTGTGGGTGTTATCACTTCATCGTGGTTTATTTTATAGCTTTTGTCGGTAGGGTTGTTATAAAGATGGTGGTTAGAGCTGCTTAATTGAACACTATCTGAACGTTTGAACAGATACTCGTTCCATCTCTTCATTAACAGCTGCAGTTCACATATCGTCTGGATTCATAGCTTTTTATTGGTTTTGTCAATGTCCTGAGTTTTGCACAACAAAAGAATCGTTGTTGTTAAATTACATTCTTTATGTGATGTTTTGGTCTGATGTCCTCATAACTTATAAAATTGTTGAATTGGCTTAAACAGTTCAAACCACATATAAAGCTGAGTTTAATATTGGCCCAGAACCTAAGGCAAACATGGAGGGAACAGTCATTGAAAAATCATTTTAAAGCAATAAAACAATCTCTAGGATAGCATCACTTAATTGTAATGCACTTGGAAAAAGTATAGTCACCGAAAGGTAAAAAAATGAATGCCCATTTGCATTTCTGAAATACACAATATTGAGTTTTAACCTCCCAATGTTCATTTATAGTCAACATCTCAGTTATTCAGTAATAAATAGAACATTTTCCCCGTTCAGTTTGTAAAAGAAACTTCTCAGTAGCTGAAACTGATTCACCTTCCTTAAAAATGAAATTGAATCCGTAAATGAATCCGTAAATGATACGTTTCTGGAAAGTGATATAAGAATTCAAACCACTTTTTATTATGAACCTTAATGTCCATTTTAAATGCTATATCCAATATAAAATAACTGCTGTTATATTCTTGATCACAATCTTCTTTCCCTGAATATATTTATTTTCACATAGATTTAATGATTCTAAAACGACTCTAGATTCACGTTTGCACCTTTGGAATCTCCACAAAGCTCTGACTTGGTTGCACTGAAATAAATTATGCTTGCATTGGTAGATATTGTCCCCTTGTTAATACCACGAGTGGAATCTTCTTACAGAAACCTTATTTAAAAATCTGTTTTCCTGCTCAAACTCGCTAAACAATCTGTGTTGTTTATGCTAAATTTGGGCAAAACAATTTAAGTCGGCTGTTTTTGATGTTTTCTACCACAAACGGATCAGGCCAGTCAAGTATTTTTTCCCTCATTACATTTAAAAATCTGAGTCCAAATTTGAGGTGTGGGACATTACATGCGAACAGTCAGTTGGGGAGTTGGCATAGATAAGCTGATAGTAAAAGCTGTTTATTGCAGATTGCTTCATTAATGTGCAGCAAGTCTTTTGAGGAAGTTTTGTGAATGCGTGACCAAGATGGCCTAATAGGCCACTCGCATTTTAGCTAAGATCTAATAAATCCACGTTTACAACATTAGGTAAAGTCAGAGTGAATCATTTTAATGACATAAGCTGATTTTACTGACGGCACAGTGGTGTCATCCTTAAATGGGACGGCTGCTTAAGAGTTTCCTCCGATGATCCTATTTACAACTTTAATGAAAGTAGAATGAAATTAGTATAAGTTCTTTATAGCATTTTTTTTACCCAATCTCATTTTCTTTTCCTCACTGTTATTGGCTTTAGTGGTTTTCTTTTATTAGTATTTATCTAAAGATACAACAAAACACATTTTTAAATATATTCAACCCAATGCCGGTTAATCTTCAGCTAGTAGTAAGCTTCTTCCTGTATTTTAGTTTTCATAACATAAACTAAGTATAATTTTGACTAGATCACTTCTGACACACAGGAAATGTTACACGATGCAGGACTTTTATCCAAGTCACACGTGGAAAAGAACAGCACATACCAGCAAGTCAGACTCAGTAATGATAACAACAATGGTTAGACAAAATAAAACCATTTTAGAGCCTGGTGGTTCTAGTAATTGTGATTTATGCTGCAGCACTCAATATGGCCAAGTTGAGAATATTTTTTGAAGAAGGGACGGTTTCTGTAATAATAATAATAATAATAGAGCTGGTCCACAGTTCCACGGCCAGGACGAAAACCACATTGCTCCTCCACAAACCACATTGCTCCTCCTCAATCTGAGATTCAACTATCGATCGGACCCTCTTCTCCAGTACCTTGGAGTAGACCTTTCCAGGGAGGCTGAGGAGTGTGATCCCCCTATAGTTGGAACACACCCTCAGGTCACCCTTCTTAAAGATGGGGACCACCACCCCGGTCTGCCACTCCACAGGAACTGCCCCCAATGACCACGCAATGTTGCAGAGATGTGTCAACCATGATAGCTCTACAACATCCATAGCCTTGAGATACCCAGGACAAACCTCATCCGCCCCCGTGGCTCCGCCGCTGTGTAGTTGTTTGACTACCTCAGCAACTTCTGCCCCCGAGATTGGACAGTCCATCCCCAGGTCTCCCGGCTCTGGTTCCTCCTCGGAATGCGCGTAGGTGGGATTGAGGAGCTCCTCAAAGTATTCCTTCCACTATAGCCCCAGTTGACGTCAGCAGCTCCCCATCCCCACTGTAAACAGTGTGAGCGAGTTGCTGCCTTCCTCTCCTGAGGCACCGGACAGTTTGCCAGAACCTCTTTGGAGCCAATCGATAGTCTTTCTCCATGGCCTCACCGAACTCTTCCCACACCCGAGATTTTGCCTCGGCAACTGCCACTGCTGCACCCCGCTTGGCTTTCTGGTGCCTGTCTGCTGCCTCCTGAGACCCACAGACCAGCCACACCCTGTAGGCCTCCTTCTTCAGCCTGACGACTCCCCAAACCTCTGGTGTCCACCAGCGGGTACGGGGGTTGCCTCCACGACTGGCGCCGGCCACCTTGCGACCACAGCTAGCAACAGCCGCCTCAACAATCGCAGAGTGGAACAAGGCCCACGCGGAGTCAATGTCCCCCACTGCTCTCGGGACGCGGTCAAAGCTCTGCCGGAGGTGGGAGTTGAAGACCGTCTTGACAGGTTCTTCTGCCAGGCGTTCCCAGCAGACCCTCACTATGCGTTTGGGTCTGCCAGGTCTACGCGGCATCTTCCCCTGCCATCTGATCCAACTCGCCACCAGGTGGTGATTAGTTGACAGCTCCGCTCCTCTCTTCACTCGGGTGTCCAAAACATACGTCCGCAGATCAGATGAAATGACTACAAAATCTATCATCAACCTGCGACCTAGGCTGCCCTGTTACCAAGTGTACCGATGGGCATCCTTATGTTCAAACATGGTGTTCGTTATGGCCAAACTGCGGTTTGCACAGAAGTCCAATAACGAAACACCACTTGAGTTCAGATCAGGCGGGCCGTTCCTCCCAATCACACCCCTCCAGGTCAAGCTGTCATTGCCCACGTGAGCATTGAAGTCCCCCAGCAGGACAATGGAGTCCCCTGATGGAGCACTATCTAGCACTCGTCCCAGGGACTCCAAAAAGGGTGGGTACTCTGAACTGATATTTGGCCCATAAGCACAAACAACAGTCAGGACCATTTCCCCGATCCAAAGGCACAGGGAAGCTACCCTCTCGTCCCCCGTGGTAAACCCCAACACACAGGCAG